CAATTTCTTCTCCTATTCTCATCAGATTTGGATGCTGTCTCTCATCACCATCATTAAATGCCCATTTTGCAAACAAAGTCAAACATTCGTCATGAGGGAGACCATTTAATTCATAAGGGTGAATTGAACTCATTATTTTGGCAACCTCCCGACTCCGAGTAGTCACAATGATTTTACTTTGAGAAAAGTCACCCATTGACTTCAATAAATCTCTAAACTCAATCCATCTCCCACGATCTTCATTCCACACATCATCTAGGATAAGCAAAAACTTCTTATCATTCAAAAGACGTCGCAGACAAGTTTGCAAGGCCTCAACTGTTGAATCATCACATTTTTCTTTTTCGTTTACGGAGTGAATAATCAGCTTGAGCAATCTAGCAAGGGTAAATTCCTCAGAAACACAGACCCATATTTTCAATGGGAAAAGTCTAGTAACCCGATCGTCATTGTATACGAGTTGAGCGAGTGTGGTTTTCCCTAGACCCCCAATTCCAACAATGGGAATGACAGGGATGTCTCCAGCCTTACTTGGTTCCATCAAACGGTTGATGATGTTCTCTTTATCCACATCTCTACCAATGACATCAGAAGAATTCACAAAAGAGTGAGTCTCCCTGTGAATAACATGTCGGTTATCGCCACCCTGTCCTAGATTAAAGCTCTTCCACTCAGTGTCAAGTTCGTCTAACCTCTGATGGATCTCTCTGATTTTATGACCCACTTTTAAAGAGAATGAAAGTGGGAAGGAGCATGAAGCCAAAAATCGTACCTTTGTGCTGATGCCTGGATGATTTACGACCTGTTTCCGTAGAGCTTCACAGTGGAATTCATCAAGCACATCTTCAGCATCATAAAAGATGTCTCTGAGCTTCCACATACAGAGGCGCAACTTTTCATTCTGGTGCTGCTGCCTCTCAGCATCCAAAAGCACAGCTTTAATGCTGGTCATGGTCTCCTGGAGCTTTCTCAAATCGCTTTTGACACAAAACGCCAAACGAAGTTCTTCCACAGCCAGGTGGGCTATTTTCTCCAGAACCCTTTCTGCAATATTGAAGAGAAATGATTCCGCCATAATTGAACTCTAAGAGCAGGGAAAGAAAAAAGAAAGGCAACGGAAAATCGTTTTAGGGAAACAAGGGTAATCTTTTCAGCAACTTATCGTGTGGTTGCCTTTATCTAATCTTGTGCATCAACAAATATATTTTTTATTGGGCAAAAAATATTGTTTTTGATAGTTGACTTCCAGTCTCCGGAGACGCCAGTCCTTTTTGTATTTGGAATTTTTTCTTTCTTCTTGGTAACTTCTATTTTACGTTCTCCCAAAACAATTATCTATTCATTGTTACGGACGGCATGAGACAAGTTTAGGATTCACTCGCTGCTCTCGAGCCTATTCTCCTTTGGACCGGGCTTATAAGATATTATCAAACCTTGGGGAAAACAAAATAAAGAAGGGAATAACCAATCTCTTAGTAATAAATAAATCAAATCAGCATCAGACTCTTAAATTAAGTTTAGCCACAATAACATACAATTATAAATCTCAGAGAAATTCTACAAGATTGAATACTATGCTTTTGTTTATTTATATCATTTTGCTGCAAGATTGATTGAACAAATTGCTTTTCTTTGGGCTTGTCTTAATTTAAAAAACAGGATAGTATTATAATGCATACTTTAGGAACTCTAGCCAAATTCTCATCATCTAGCTTAAATCACCTCTTGATCATACATACAGACCAAAATCAAGGATTAACTGATTAAACCAGGTGTCAAGAAGCTAAAAGTTAAGGCGCATTCTTGATTGTTGTCTTTATCGCCAAAGCAATATTCGTACATAAAAATGCAGACATTGATCAAACATCCCGCCGATTGGACATTTTGCGGCCTTGGTTTCATTTAATTTCATTTACAGAGCCTAATAATAAGAGAATCTGGTAATCCAAAGTTGATACACTTCTCAGTCCCAGTCAGCATCACAGAATCCAGCATCTTTCATCTGTGAGTTGTATGCAAGTCTTACTCCTGCACAAATGTAGAAGATAAAATATTATAAAGCTTTGCTAAAAATCAATTAACAAGATGAAATTATTACTATGAATCAGAAATAAAACTACCAATATTGGAGAGGGGGAGGAGATCATAATGTCTGCATAACGTCTAAACTAATTAGAAGAGGCATTATCAAGCCTGGGAAAACAGAATAGAGAAGAGAATAATAAGTCTGTTAGTAATGGATAAATCAAGTCAGCCATCAAAATCTTAAATGAAGTTTAGCTACATTAACATAAAATTCTACGAGATTGAATGCCAATGCTTTTGTTTAGTTATATTATTTTGCTACAAGGTTGAACAAACAGCTCTTATTTGAGCTTATCTGCTTTAGGTCCTCTAACCAAACTCAAATTCTCAACATCTGAGCTTAAATCACCTCTTCATCATACATACTGACCAAAAACAAGGGCTAACTGATTAAACCAGACTAAGTATAAAGAAGCTAAAAGTTAAGGCACATTCTAGATTATTGGCCTTATCGGCAAAGCAATATTTGTAGATAATAATGCAGACAGTGATCGAAAATCCCCTCCGATTGGACATGTTGCAGCCTTGGGTCCATTTAGTTTCATTTACATAACCTAATGACGAGAGAATCTGGTAACCAAAGTTGAAACACTGCTCACTCCCAGTCAGCATCAAAGAAACCAGAGTCTTACATCTCTGAGTAGTACACGTTTTCTAAATCAAGTCTTCCGTCTGCACAAATGTAGAAGATGTCATATTATAAGGCTTTGCTAAAAGAATCAATTAACAATATGAAATTATTATTATGAATCTGAAACAAAAAGGCAGAAGGAAAAAAATTCAATAATTGTTTAAATTTTTTTTATTTTATTATAATTAATTAAGTTTTGAATATTTTATTTTGAATCAATTAAATTTTTAAATATATATTTTTATTCAATTGAATCTTTATACACATATTTTCACTCAATTAATGTTTTGATTTAGTAATTTTGAAAGGTTTGGTTTGTTGATCGAATCAGGTTGCTCGCTTGCAGCTGGCAGAAGAAATTAATTTGAAGAAATAATTTTGAAAAAAGAAAAATGTTAATAGATATTGGTGGGCCAAGTTTAAATTTTAGGACCACATTGGGTTTTTGGCCCACTAAGAAATCTGGAAACTAATCGAACGGGTAAAGCCCACAAAATCATGTGTATATTGCTTTAAATTTGTTTGAGATAAGAAGATTGCATGAATTGGGCCATTTCCTACCTGAGAAAAATTGAGACAAACTTATTTTGTTATGAAATTTCATAATTAAAATAATTAAATAAAAATTAACATATAAAATTAAATTTGATAGATTAAAAAGTTTTGTTGTATAAAATTTAAAAAATTTTAATAAATTTGATGTAGTTTTTAGATAAATATTTTTAATACAAATATTGATAAAATTTTTATTATTAAATAAATATTAATTAAATTTAAATTATAAATAATATTATAAATAATTTTTTACATATTATTAATCTTATATTAAAATTTATTAATTTGTCAATTTAATTTTTTATTAAAATTTTTATTAAATTATTTTTAATAAAAATTTTTACAAACTCCACCTAGCAAACTTAATAAAATTTTGTGCTCTTACTTTTGAAAGTTTCATCTATTAAAAAAAAAAAAAAGTTGGGCTGGCCTTATTAATTTAATATCAATAATTCTTAAAACCCTAAAAACCTGTAAAAACAAACAAAATGAAAAATCTAGCCCTGTAAGCTGTAACTGAAACTTAAACTCAACGCACTCACCGTCTGTTCTCTTTATCGTCTCTCATCTCAACCCATTTGCTCTGTTACCTTCGCCAGTCAGCAAAGATTCTTCGATCTCGAGAGCCCGCCCGTAGGCTTAACGCCATCCTCCTCAATAGTCTCAGGCACTTTCCTTTTCAAAGATTCTTCTATTCCTTTTCTTTTCATTTTCTTTCTGTTTCATTTTTAATGAATTGGGTTTTCTTTTTTTTTTTTTAATTTTGTTTTAAACAGTTTCCATCAGTTTCACGAGATGGCAGCTGAGGGAGGCAAGAGCTATGCGAGGAGAGATAAACTATTGGAAATCGAGTCAAAGGTTAGAGTTTGGTGGGAAGAAAAAGATGTGTTTAAGGCAGAGCCTTGTGAAAAACCTCCTCAACCAGGTGAAAAATTCTTTGGGAACTTTCCTTTTCCGTATATGAATGGTTTTTTACATCTGGGTCATGCGTTTTCGCTTTCGAAACTCGAGTTTGCTGCTGCTTACCATAGACTAAGAGGTGTTAATGTGTTATTACCTTTTGCTTTTCACTGTACTGGTATGCCGATCAAGGCTTCTGCTGATAAACTTGCTAGAGAAATCCAACAATTTGGTGATCCACCCATTTTTCACCATGGGGTACTAGATGAGGAACCTAAATCAAAAGAAGATTCTGACCCAAATGAAGGTGCCAATGTAGCACCTGATAAGTTTAAAGGGAAAAAGTCTAAAGCAGCGTCTAAATCTAGTGGACAGATGTTTCAATGGGAAATCATGAGGAGTTTTGGACTTTCAGATAGTGAGATATCGAAGTTTCAGAACCCGTATGAATGGCTGAAATTCTTTCCACCAGTGGCTGTTCAAGACCTTAAGGCATTTGGATTAGGTTGTGATTGGAGAAGGTCGTTTGTGACTACAGATATGAATCCATTCTTTGATTCATTTGTGAAGTGGCAGATGAGGAAGTTGAAATCAATGGGTAAGATTGTTAAAGATTTGAGGTATACTATATATTCTCCCTTGGATGGTCAGCCATGTGCTGATCATGATAGGGCAACTGGTGAAGGAGTTCAGCCTCAAGAGTATACTATTATTAAAATGGAAGTGGTGCCACCTTTTCCAGCTAAAATGCATGATTTGGAAGGGAAAAAAGTGTTTTTGGCTGCTGCAACATTGAGGCCTGAGACCATGTATGGGCAAACAAACTGCTGGGTGTTGCCTGATGGGAAATATGGAGCCTTTGAAATCAATGAATCTGAGATATTTATTCTGACAGAGAGAGCTGCTCTCAACCTTGCTTATCAGAAGCTCTCCCGTGTCCCTGAGAAGCCTACTTGCTTGGTTGAGCTGACTGGTTATGATCTGATTGGTCTTCCTGTTAAGTCTCCTCTCTCATTTAATGAGATCATATATGCTCTTCCAATGTTGACGATTCTAACAGACAAAGGTACTGGAATCGTGACCAGTGTTCCTAGTGATGCTCCTGATGATTATATGGCCTTGCATGATTTGAAAGCAAAACCTGCTTTTCGGGCAAAGTTTGGGGTGAAAGATGAGTGGGTATTGCCGTTTGAGATTGTACCTATCATTGACATTCCTGAATTTGGTGACAGGGCAGCTGAAAAATTATGTGTGGATCTGAAAATTAAAAGTCAGAATGAGAAAGACAAGCTTGCCGAGGCAAAGAGATTGGTGTACTTGAGAGGTTTTACAGAGGGAACCATGATTGTTGGAGAATATGCGGGAAGAAGAGTCCAGGAAGCTAAGCCACTGATAAGGACCAAATTGATTGAGATGGGCCAGGCAATAATTTATAGTGAGCCTGAGAAGAAGGTCATGTCAAGGTCTGGTGATGAGTGTGTTGTGGCTCTTACAGATCAATGGTACATTACATATTGGGAACCAGAATGGAAAAAATTAGCTGAGGAGTGCTTATCCAGCATGGATCTTTACTCGGATGAGACAAGACATGGCTTTGAACATACTTTAGGATGGCTGAACCAATGGGCTTGCTCACGATCCTTTGGGCTTGGTACTCGCATTCCTTGGGATGAAGAATTCCTTGTTGAGTCATTATCTGACTCAACCATTTACATGGCTTATTACACAGTTGCTCATCTTTTACAAAATGGGGACATGTATGGAAAAAGTGTTGATCTGGTCAAACCTGCCCAGATGACTGATGAGGTCTGGGAATTTCTCTTCTGTCGTGGTCCATATCCCAAATCTTCTGATATCCCATCCTCTATTCTTAATAAGATGAAGCAGGAGTTTGAATACTGGTATCCATTTGATCTTAGAGTCTCTGGAAAAGACCTTATCCAGAACCATTTAACATTTTGCATCTACAACCACACAGCAATCATGTCCAAGGATCACTGGCCTCGTGGATTCAGGTGCAACGGACATATTATGCTCAATTCTGAGAAGATGTCCAAGTCTACTGGAAATTTCAGGACATTGCGCCAGGCAATTGAGGAATTCTCTGCTGATGCTACAAGATTCTCTCTGGCCGATGCTGGAGATGGCGTAGATGATGCAAACTTTGTGTTTGAAACAGCTAATGCTGCAATCTTACGGCTTACAAAAGAGATTGCATGGATGGAAGAGATTCTGGCTGCAGAATTGTCTTTAAGGACTGGTCCCTCATCTACCTATGCTGATCGGGTGTTTGATAATGAGATAAACATCGCGGTCAAAATGACAGAGCAGAATTACCGGGATTACATGTTTCGGGAGGCTCTCAAAACTGGCTTTTATGATCTTCAAGCTGCCAGGGATGAGTATAGGTTCTCTTGTGGCAGTGGGGGCATGAACCGTGACCTCATATGGCGCTTTATGGATGTGCAGACTAGGCTTATTACTCCAATCTGCCCTCACTATGCAGAGTTTGTTTGGAGAGAGCTTTTGAAGAAGGATGGCTTTGTGGTGAAATCAGGCTGGCCTACAGCAGATTCTCCAGATCTGAAACTCAAGAGTGCCAATAAGTATTTGCAAGATTCCATTGTGTTGATGAGAAAGCTGCTCCAGAAGCAGATTTTGGGCTCAAAGAAAGCTAATAAGAAAGGGGCTCCAGTTTCATCACTAACTGAGGACAAGTTGAAAGGCCTAATTTTCGTGAATGAGCAATTTGATGGATGGCAAGCAGAGTGTTTGCAGATTCTCCAAAGCAAGTTCGACAAGAAGACCCATACTTTTGCTTCAGATGGGGAGATAATGAACGCATTACAGGAGAGCAGTGTTGGTCAGGCAGCAGACTTTAAACAGATCCAGAAACTTTGTATGCCATTCTTGAGGTTCAAGAAGGATGAGGCTATTAAAATTGGTGTCCAAGCCCTGGATTTGAAACTGCCCTTTGGAGAGATTGAGGTCCTTCAGGAGAACTTGGACTTGATCAAAAGACAACTTGGTCTTGGAGAGGTAGAAGTATTGTCGGCCACTGACTCTGATTCTTATGTTCAAGCTGGTCCTCTCGTATCCCTGCTAGAGCAGAATCCTCCCTCCCCTGGAAATCCAACTGCCATCTTTCTGTCAATGTGAAGGAACTTTATCATTTTAGCATCTAAGTTCTACCTGAGGAATTTTTTTTGGTTGGACTATTTCGTATTAGATGTTCTAAATTTGTATTTTCTAAACATAGACGTCGCATGTCTGCCGGTAAACAAATTTGTTCCAGATATGTTGCATCAAAATGCTGTTATGACAGTGGATTTTTCAGTCTGAATTTTGTCACTGAATCAAAAATATTTTCGTTCTATCTGGATCAAATTGTTACGCTTTCTCATAGGTTATAATTCCAGTTCTATATGTCTGCCTTGGTGAACTGAACGTTCAAGTACAACAACTATAGGTGGTTTTTTTTGCCATTTGCCGAGATTGGGCCTGGGCACCCTAGAACTCCATTTACCATGGAAAGTTTTCATACAAAATTTTCTATTCTGTTTAATTGATTCTTTGTTATTTTTTATTTTTCATGATTTTTTACATTTTACATTTTACTTTCTTTTTTTTTTTAACAAAAAAAGGAAGTAAATAGCAAAAGCATCTAGCGAATTAGAAATTATAATATTTTATAGAAGAAATTATAATGTTTAAAATGAAAAAAGACTTTGAAATTCCAAGTTTTAGGGAATTGGAAAGCACCAATTTTAGGAATTCAAAGTTTCCAAAAGGTCACAAAAGGTGGATGATATCACTTTTTCTAAACGAAGTTACATCGCGGTAATAGAAAAAAAAAGAGTTACACGGTTGAAATTTGAAATTTAATTTTTTTAAAATTTAGATGTTTAAAAATAATTGTTACTATTTTTCATTTTTTAGTTTTTTCCTAAAACTCAAAGCCATTTTGAAAACGTTTTTGCTCTTGAAAAAAACTAAAAAAAAAAAAGGAATATTTGAAAAATAAAATAAAAAACCACTGAAAAATGAAAAAAAAAAAAACTTTTAGGCTCATTAAAATAAAATAAAATAAATAATGGCAGAATTTGAGAATAGCCCAAGTATTTCAAGTCCATAAGAGCCCAGCTTCCTATTTTATGGGCTTGTATCAGAAAAAGATTTTTTTATTTTTTTTGTTTTCAGATAGCATAATTTCCATTATACCCTTGAATGGTTGGTGGCGTGGAGTAAATACAAGAAGCCTTCCCTCATCGTTAATAAATTGATTACAAATTCCTGGGCAGCACACATTTTTCACTGTTCTTGTTCGTTTTCTTTTGTATACTGTGAAGGGGTGCTCTGAGGTTAGCATCTTTTTGACTTTCAATTTCCATTCCATTTTTAGGGTTTTAAAGCTGTGATCTGATTCATTTCTCTCTATCTTACGTTTGATTTTGCTGTTCTTCAGCTGTTATGGAAGATCTGCTCTAGATTTCTTTTTTTTTTTTAAACTAGATTTTGCTTGCTTTTTAATTTGTTCTTATTATTATTTTTTTGGGTGTAAGATAAGCTTGATTTTGATGGCTGTGAATCCTATTTTTTTGGTTGATGATTGAAGAAAGTTAAAAAAGTTTTTTTTTTTGAAAAATACTTATTAAAGAAGGATTCTGTGCTGAAGAAAGTAGCTCAATTTCAAATTTTTTTTTTTGAAAGTCAGATTTTCTTTTCAAGTTTTATTTTCTAATCTTAGCTGAGAGAAGTTTTGTTTTCTTCGCTGTTATATGATTAAAATCTAGTGCATGAAAACAATCCATTTTTAGTTGGGAGAAATTACTGTATATGGTGAAGATTTAGCTTTTTTAATTGTGTTTTTTTAACTCCTTAAATATCTCCAATGGTTGGTTAAGTTTAGGGCCCTGTTAGATTTTTAGATGTATTTATTATATGACAAACTTTAATGGGTTTATATTTGATGTGCTTTCGGTCTATAATTAATTAATTTGGGGAATTACTAGCATTTATGTACAGGGCTTCTAAAAATGTTTTGGTGATGTGGTTACTGGTGAAACAGAGAATGACTTTTGATTTTATATAAGCTATCAGAATTATACTTTTTGAGCCTTTTCTTCCATTGTTTTTAATGTTGCTATCAAAGATATCTTTCATTTAGGTAAAATTATTTACTGTCACATCTAACATTATGTAGTGTAGATCACATAGAAAAATGGTGAAGGCAGTTGCGGTTCTTAGCAGCAGTGAAGGTGTTAGTGGAACTGTTTTCTTCTTGCAAGAGGGAGATGGTAAATCACAACCCTGATAAGACTTCTTGGTCTCTGTATTTCTGTCTTTCATGTCAAAGTTATTTAATCTTTTCTGCCCTGTTTAGGTCCAACTACTGTGACTGGGAACATTTCTGGTCTTAAGCCTGGGCTCCATGGATTCCATGTTCATGCCCTTGGGGACACAACAAATGGTTGCATGTCAACAGGTAAAAGTCTGAAAGTTGGATTTGTTTTTCCTTTTTGTTTGAATTTGAAAAAAAAAAAACAAAGGAATGACAGGAGATCGGCTTTGTTGATTTCTTTTGTCTTTGGATGTAATTGTTTTGGGGGTTTTTACCTTGTGATTAATCTCTTTGCAGGACCCCACTTTAATCCTGCCAACAAAGAGCATGGTGCCCCAGAAGATGAGAATCGCCATGCTGGTGATCTAGGAAATGTCACTGTTGGTGATGATGGTATGAATATTTGCCTTCTGTAAATGACTATAGGCTTTCTAGTTCATCATTAACAGATTCAGAATATTTATATTAGGCTTTCTTTTTTTTTTTTCTTCTCCTTTTTTGTTTCAACTTTTTTCAGTTGTATGTTGTTTGGTGTTTACGTTTCTTGTATTGTTAACACTGTTAATTTTATTTGTGTGGTCCAGGCTGCGTGAGTTTCTCTATTATTGACAAACAGGTTTTTGTTCAACTCCTTATTCCTCTGCTTACATTTGATCAACATAAGGTCATTTCTGAAAGTTATTGTTTCATACTTTGGCAGATTCCTCTCAATGGGCCACACTCCATTATTGGAAGGGCTGTTGTTGTCCACGCAGATCCTGATGACCTTGGCAAAGGTAATAGTTACAAAATTTTCATTAGATTAAGTTGTTTACTTCTTTTATACCTAGTCTTGCCTATGCTAGGAACGCTACTTAATAAGTGGTTGACTTCCTGAATTGGTCCCCCTCTCAAAAATCTTATCTGCCTTCCTGCAAGGGAAAAATCAAATTTAAAATACTAATATACCCTTATGGCTCATGATATTGTCGTGGAGATTAGCCGAGCTGGTGATTTTAACCAGTAATTGGAATGCTTGTAGTTAAGCTTACGTAAGAATCCTCCAAGAACTATGAAATGGATTAGTAATATTAGGGGCATTACCAACTTTGATCATTTATAATTGTTACTCAATTTTATTTACCAATTTATATATTCAGCGGTATAGACATTTCATGACTGCTATCATATTTGCAGGGGGCCATGAGCTGAGCAAAACCACAGGAAATGCTGGTGGCAGAGTAGCTTGTGGTAAGTTAACCATCTTGATTGCATTTGAAGAAACTTCTTTTATTAGCTAACATCCACAGGCATGATTATTTTCTGTAGTTTCGAGGTACAATATCAATTACGTCGTCAATAATTTTCTGAAATACCTTTTATCCTCTTGATTGCTTGATTTATTCTTGTTGCTTTTTTTTTTTTATTATTTGTAGGTGTAATTGGTCTGCAAGGCTGAAGTCTCTGCCCTGGTGACCGGAAGAATAATACGCATTTGGAGATGCAATGGCCTAGAGAGCAAACTCTTTATGTGAACTAGAAACGTCTTGAATAAAAGTAAAAGAATCCCTCTCGTCTGTACTTTTGTTGTGTATGTTTTGTGACTTAAAAAAAGAGTGTTCTCGTAATGGCAGCTTTGGAACCGCCTTTTCCTGGTCTTTTCCTTCTGGCAATGGCCTCATGATTCAGCCATTTTGATTCTATATTTGGTTCGTTTTGCATGAAGCTATCTTTATAATCTAAAGCCTGACTCAAGAAAAAGCATGCTTGATTACGCCTCTACAGATATGTTGTCGTGAGGTTATTAATTCAACGTTTGAAGTCTTTCCTTGCTACATAATTGTTAATTTAGTTCGAGTTCTGGTATGATTAGTCAAAGACGCTGTATCATCTTGGGGCGATGGTTTGAACTTTGATTTCTTTTTATGGCCGAAACATATGACTTCGCTAATTTCTCATTGGCAACGGAATTTCCATGTATCAGACAGGGCCATGTCGTACTAAGAGAATCTTTCCTCAACCTTTATTATTTTTTACTGATAAATGTATAAAGCATGGTAGATAAAACCCTTCACCCCTTTATATTTTCTATTTTGTATTATGTATTTTATATTTTAGTAATTAGTATCGGTCAATTAGTAGAAAGATATTAAAGCATAATGAGTCGACAAAATCAACTAACACATCTTATCCTTTTCTTTTGTGAATTTGTTTGGACTTGTACATGGTACAATGAACATGAACAAAGATAAAATTCAAATTCCTTTATCTCATTAACATTAATTAATTTATTACATTTTCAAATCAATTTTCCAGGTAAATTAAAATCTTTGTTACGAAACTCAATTCAATTAATCGCATAAGTCAACAATTTTTTTTTTTGGTCTTTAAAATTAGATTTGAATTCAAAATTCTCAAATTTGAAACCGAGTTTAGTAATATCAAGTTAATATTATAATATTAAGATATATGCATATATATATATATATATATATATAATGGTAATTGAGCTATACTGGGAGAGAAACTACCTCCCTATAATTTTTGAATCTGATTTATCTATTCAAAGCATGCAAAGATCGTATGCATGAAAAGTCGATTAATCAACTATATCACTCAACATCTTCTGCAGCCAGCCTGTTCTGCACCTTTCAAACGTTATTAATGGCCCGAATGGCTATTGATCAGGATGGATTGTATTCTGTAGAGGCAAAAAAAATTGTTGTGGGAGTGGGGGATTCATTCTTAAAGGTGTAAATAATAAGAGTTTTTGACTAATTGTTTGCGAATACGTTCGATTTTTATTTGTTTATATTCATTTGTTAAGTTTAACAAACAAATCTTGAATATATATTCGTTTATTAAATGAATTAAACACAACATATTTATTTAATTAGTTTTATGTTTATAAATTAACTTATTTAAAATTCATTTAAAATTTATTCGTTTATTATTCGTTTGTTATACATTTATTGTTCATTTATAATAATATAATAAATTTATTTTTTATCCTTTACCTTAATTTTATTTTTAAATTCGTTTATATTTGTTTGGGTTCATTTATGTTTATTTAAAATTTGTTAGTTTAAATTTATTTAATTATTATTTGTTTATTATTTATGAATATAATCGTTTATAAATGTTTGTGAACATATTTATTTAATATTAACAAATGAGTTCATTTATTTAATTGAACGAATACGAATCGAACTAAATAACTTATTATTTAAACAAATGAATATGAATAAACATGATAATTTTTTTAATAAACACGAATAGAATATGAATACCTCTAAAAATAAACCAACAAATCACAAACATCGGTTATGTTTACAGTTTTATTCATTCTCTTTCTCATATTCACAGCAATCGATGCCTCAAGTATGGGAGAAGTTCCAGCATTTTCATCGGTTGCAGCTATCAGGGATTCCCAAATAAGCGCCGGCACAGCCTCAGCCTCAACTTAAAACGGCGGACAAATGGACTCTCATAAAATTAATTTTTTTAACAGAAAAAGGAAGGAATATAATAAATACTTTTAACTCCGAACTCTTTCGAAATTGAAGCCTTGTAATTTATGATTTTGTAGCTAACATAAAAGACAAAGAAAAAGCCAAAAGCCAAGCCAACATTAAAAGACAAGGAAGGGTCAAAACCTGCTGTAAATCACTTGTATAAAAGAGAGTATCAAGGGGTAAAATTTTTTTAACTTGGTAGTAATTTTATTTTCCATAGAAAATGTTTTCTTCTTCTTGATTTTACAGTAGGCCATGTATGGAAATCCATGATATTTTTTCCTTGTAATTAGATAAGCCCTCCTAACTAGTTGTAGCCGCCAGAAGGAAATGGAGAAAACTACACTCAAATTGGCTTGCTTCATAGCTCTGCTCATTATTGCTTTCGGTATGTATGTATGATCTCTTCCTCTTCCTCTCTTTGGGTTCATTTGGCATCGTGATGGAAGAAACTTTCATCGCATCATAGCTGTGTTTTATGATTGAACTCTTAACGATTCTATCATAAAACACATCACGACGTGGTGAGTGTCACTCCCACCGCGCCGTCTTTTCTACATTTTTTACTGATAAATGGTTAAATGGATTTTCATTTTTCATCCTTCATTTTTTATTTTTTCAGTTATTATCATTTGTTTATACGTACAACTAACGGATTCATTTGCTAGTTGCAGCCAAACCAGAATCCGAAGCATTGCTCGACGTTTCAAAGGGACAGCCATGCAATAAACATGAGGACTGTCTAGATGCCTGCAGTTATCGCGGCCGGTGTCCTGTCCTATGCGTCGCCGGATTCTGCGTTTGTGATTGCCCGCCGCCGAAGCATTGACACGATGGCTTCTAGCTATATATCTCAAGCATGATTAATTTTAGCTAGGCAGATGCTTATTCCATTAGCATATTATTATGCTTTGTTGAAGTAAGCTTATATGTTTTACCTTGTATGGAATAAATAGTCATTTTTTCTCCGGGATCCTAGAAAAAAAGGGAAAACAAGAAAAAAAATTTTTTTTTCTTTAGCTGCTGGATTGTTTTAAAGCTTCTGTATCTGAGTGTGTGTACCCCAGTTTCCATTAGTAAAAGTTAATTTGCTTCATTTACCTCTAGAAATTAAAGAATAAAATTAAGTTTTCTACTTTTCTTGTTTCTCTAAGAACATAAATTTGTGACTTCCATCACAAATATCATTTTAAGCACGATGAGTAAGGTTTCAGATTTTTTTATAAAATTATAAGTACAAAAAAAAAATTACAATAAACAAATGTTTGATGTTACATTTTAAAAGTGATTATTTAAATCAATTGAGTTAAGTCTTGAATGGATACATTTTTTTACCATCCTATCAATATGCCAAAAATAAGCAAAAAAGAACTTCTAATTTCTTTAAAAAATGAGATACTACGAGGTTAATTATGTTATTGCTATCCAACTAACTTACCTAGGTTCATAAAATTTAATCTTGATTCAAAGATTAAAATTTTTTTTACTTTTTATTCCTAATCAACGCAAAAGTTATTTTATCTAAATATAATTAAGAAAAATATTGTAAATATTCACAAAAACATATTTTAATTTAATGCATACAAAATCAGTGTATTTAAGTTTTTTTTTTTTTTTTGGGCCAATAAATCCCTTGAATTGATAATGGATTAATCCAAGGGTTCAATCGAAAGGAGTGGAATTTAGGAACCCAAGACCATTAGAAATTAGGCCCAACTATAAAAGCACAAAAAAAATAAAGGGAAAGAAAAAGAAAGAAACTTGAAAATATTTTAGGGAGAAGAAGCAGAAGAAGAAAGCCGAAACTAATTTCTTCCATTAGAGAGAGAAAGAAAGGAAAAGAATGGGGAGAGAGGTATCAGAAAGCTGCATCGATAGCCTACAAGGCGAAATGGTTTTGGCATATTGCAACCGTTTCTACGCCAATAAGCCTGAGCTCGCGGCCCGTCGGATCGAAGCCATCGGATGTCAGGTTGGCCACCAGCTCTCTGAACGGTAAACGCTTCCACATCTTATCGAAATCCAAATTAATGCTAGAGATTTATGAATCTGAACTGCCCATTTGAATTATATTTTGTAATGAATTGTTCTTTAGCTTGAATTTTAGTTTCAGTTACTGTGCTTTAATGGCTTTTTTTTTTCTTCTATCGGAGTGAAAAAAAAAATCCATTAGTTGAAATTGAGTCAACTTGAGTGGAATTCAAAAACCCAAGTTTAAATTTTGGATCCTTACTCTATTATCGGGCGTAATTTTTGACTTGGGAAAAAGAATGGTATTAGTCTTCTTTTAGTAGTAATAAAGCTTTTATGATCGAGTAATGTTCTGAACATATGTGAATTTGAAGTTCTGATTGTCGATGCTAATGGATGCAATGCTTTGGCTTTTGTAATTATTAGTATTGCTTGGACGTGTTGTGTGATGTAATGCAAGGTAAATACTACGGAGAATAAAAGCTGAAATTATTTGATTTTTAGTCTTGACGAATCTTCTTAACTTGTATTCAGTACTTTTTACTCTAAACTGGTAGTTAGAATAAAGGGTAGGCCAATGTCTCTGATCTGGGTTTATTTTTCAACTTTTTGTCTTGTGTAATGAGCCCTTTACATTTGGTGCCGCAAGTTGCTCCTGACAAAAAATTTGATATACAATGGGGCCTCTAAGAATTGTTAAGATACTTGATGTATTTGGTGAAATTCATTTTGATTTCTTGGGGCTTGATTAATTACGTAAGTAATGGCTCTTGGACAATGGATTCTTCCTGATATTCATTTTTTATTAAGGTTAAGATGCTTCTTGTTGTAATAACAAAGTTCAGTCATTGCCAGGTACATGATGGAGAGACCATGTTTTAGTGATCATTTAGAGGCAATCAAGTTTATCTGTGAGGATTTTTGGTTTGAACTCTTTAAGAAGCAGATAGAAAACTTGAAGACAAATCATAGAGTATGTTTAGGAACTGAAACGGGCCAAAACTGGTTGTGATGATGAAGTTTATTAAATGGTCGCCACTTGTCTTGTAGGGTACCTCTGTATTGCAAGACTAATTGTTTTCGTTGGCTCACACGCCTGTCAGTTGATCAATCACCTGAAAATGGAGCATCTGTAGAGCCTTCTATCATGCCTGACAACAAGGCTGTGCAAAGCATGTATCTCTATTTTCCCTGTGGAATCATCAGAGGAGCTCTTTCAAACTTGGGAATACCTTGTGCAGTTTCTGCCGACATATCCAGCCTTCCCGCATGTGAGTAGCCTGCTTGATGATTGCTATATAAATTTTTTTACCATTTTCTAAACATTTATTAACCATGTTTAAATGACAAGTGATTTTGAGTCATTTAAGCTTAACATGCCACTTCAGGAACTTAGCCAGTGCTATTTAATATATGAATCAAATTAGCTTTTGGTTTCTTGTTTATAAACTTAAGCAATGTTAAGTGACTTTCTATTATAGAAATTAGATAAAGGTTGATGTAATGGTGTTAGATACCTCTTGTTTATAACATTCACATTCACTTCATTTGATGTTTCTTGGGTTTTGAATACATCTTTTTATTCTTTAACCTTGTTTCTTGGTACTTAATCAACGTCGATAACATGTTCTGAAACAAATTTAAACTTAGTGTTAGATATTTGAACAGAATTAACTGTTTTGAGTTATTTGTTTATTCATGTAGCATATAAACTTGTTGAGACTTCTAATCTTGCTTTTACTTCAGGTTCATTTGTGGTCCGAATAAAGGCTTGATGAGCATGTTAACCAGAAACGCAACCCCAATTATTAGGTTTTCAAACATACACTTGATGTTAGTTTAAAAGAAAAAATATTCGGCTTCTGCATGATAACAACTCGGTTTGAGAACTGCTAGAGTCCCATTCAGAATATAAGAAGTTGTGGCACAAGAAATACATATGAAGAAACTTATTTGACAAATAGACTTGGAACTTTTGTATGTGGATATTGTGAAACCTTTGTTGGTGATAAGGTTGCATTGTTGAATTCTTTTCTGTGCATTTAACTGTGGCATTGAACAATGCCCTTCATGTGTTAAACTGGCATGTTTCTCTGAAAAGGATTTGTACAGGTGTAGAACTAGGTTCACTAAAGAAACTATATGAAGTCCCGTTTCAAAGAGTGATCCTTGTTTAATGCATGCAAAAAGGATGGATGCTTTTATCTCTCCCTTTTTTTCTTTAAATTTTTTTGGATGATTGAAAATTTATTGATCCAAAGCACAAATGCGATTGATAGCATGAAATCCCACCTCAAGGGATTTCAACAAAACCGGAAACCGGTACAACATAACAGAAGCAACTGTGAGACAATTGGCTGTTGTCATAGAACCAGGAAACTCCCAAGATATGATAATTCTACAAGTGAAGTCAGCCGATATGGAGCACAGTATAAAGCAAACAAGTGTTTTTGGGCTTAGGTAATATAAAGCAAAAATTAGATTCAGTAATTCTATTTGTATAATATAAAATATTAATAATTTATATATTTATATTATATTTTATATAAAAATTATATATTATAATTTGTGTTTATATGAAAACAAAAATATATTTTTTTATTTTATTGAATTTATTTATAATTTTTATTAAAATTTTAAATCATATTATTTTTATATTTTTTATTTATATCATTTTTATATGTTGTGTCAACATGTCATATTTAAAATTGTTAGGTTTAACAAAAATATTATTCTGTTTAAATCAAATGTTAGGATACATCTTTTTTTTCATAATTTTTCACATTCATGAGGAATAAAATTTTTGTACTATGTATCATTTGTAGTTAAAAACGCCCTTTCTAATGTTGGGGACTCTAATCATAGATTAATAGTACTAGATTTTTTTTACTACAAGTATTAGTTAATTAATTATTGCAATATTTTATTGATAAATACATTTTTAATTGAGTCCAAAATTCGATCATCCAAATAGAGCCAAAAGAGGACAATATGGTAAAATCAGTTTTGAAGCTCACCAACCCATCTATTTCACCCAACTCCAAAACAGGGCAACCTTACACATTAATTTTGTCATTTTTTATAAGAGAAAAAAGCGTCATTATCGAAGGAATGGTACTTGCGAGAGCTAGGACCGTGGCATGCGGAGAGTGATTCTGAAAAGAGATATGCTACGTGATTCCGCAGAAATTTATTTTTAGATTCATGACATCATATACCAACACCTTTCTTTACGTAAATGAATTCATTTATTTTTTTTAAGTCATAAATAAAATTGGCTAATAAAAAATATTTATGTAATTATAAATTCATTAACATGAAAAATTAAAATTTTAGTGTTTTTCTGTGTGTTTATATTAAAAAAATTGTTTTATTATTATTTATTAAAATAAAATAAATTAAAAATAGTAGAAGCCAATGTGTGAAAATAGGTTCCAAAACCATCAAATGATGATTTATAGCTATTGAAAAAAGAAAAAGAAAAATTACAATAATGAATATAAACATGTAATATATATATATATATATTAAAATCGGTTGAATTATTAATGAATGGTTGATTAAGTGATAAAGAGAATACGTGTTTTTATTTATCATTTGATTTTAATTTATTAAAAATATTAAAAAATCAGAAATAAATAAATAATATCACTTAAAAAATTAAAAAAAAAATTCCGTTGAACGTAAACAGGTTAGGAGAGGACTTTGAATTCGTTTTTAGTTGAAAAAAGTGTACGATGGAGTGTTAGGAGGCGATCGTAGAAGTGGCTGCCCCTAACCAGTGTGCAACAATTTTTTTTAAAAACCAAAACCCATACAAATAGAAGAAAAGCTACACCTAACTACTCACCACTCTACCAACCCCAACTCCAAAAATAAAACAGTGAAAGTCGCTTTACCTTCATTGCTTTCTTCTCCTTTCTCACCTCAAAGTCTCAACGCCATGACTTTCGAAAGCTTTCCGGTGACAACCTTTTTTCTGTTCTTTCTGTTTTCCTTTTATTATTGTTGTTGCAAAGTTGAAATAAAAAGCCAAAAGATTGCTATGTTTTTGGGGTGTTCTTTAGTCTTCTTTGATGATCATCTGTTTTGTTGTTGGGAACAATGCAAAAGAAGGAAGAGAAATGAAAGAGAAGAATATATGAAGTTCTGGGTTGTTCTTGGATGTTGTTTTAATGGTTTCTCCATTAGTCTTTTCTTTAAAGCTTCTGACTTTTCAGTTGACTTAAAAAGTTATAAATTGCTTCCATTTTTGGGAATGTAGGAGAAGTACCCTTATTGATTTGATTTGAGTTGTAAATATAATTTCTTTTGATTGACCTTTTAGTGATTTGAAATTGGTTAGGATTGAATCTACCAAATTTACGACTTTTTCTATCCTTTTCATTATTGGATCAGTGGATGCTGGTTTCATGAACTTAGCTTAATTGGCTTTAAATTAAATTTTTATTCTGCTTTTGATTTTGATATACCTTTTGGTTTTCTTGATTTCATTTTAGGTTACTTGGTTCAATTTCCTTAGCTGCCTGATAAAGCATTTCATGCTTGTATTTGCTTCATAGTTCTGATTTTTTTTCTAGGAAAATTCAGAATGACATACTATAGAAGCTTCAAAAATGTTTTTTTTTTTGGGGGGGGGGGTCATTTCTAATATTTGATTCTGAATTAGGTTAATTGAGTCCAAAAATCTATGCTTTTTCGTTGGATGTAATGTACTATTTTGTTGACTTCTTTTTGGTATTTTTTCAGTTGCCGATCACAGATTTTCAAATTGGTGATGGAGCTCAAAGGAATTCAACATTAATTTGTGTGCCAATAATGGCAGAATCAGTTGATCGGATGCTGGTTGAGATGCAAAAGGCAAAGGAAGTTGGTGGTGATCTTGTTGAGATTCGGGTGGATTTCTTGAAGAACTTTGTTCCAAGACAAGATCTTGATATCCTGATCAAACAAGCTCCATTGCCAACTCTTGTCACCTTTAGGTACTAAATTATTTATTGGAGGAAATAAAAACGGTTGCATCTGTTATCCATGATATTAGGGGTAATTTTGCTTTATATATTATCTGGTTGGAAATGTAAATTGAGCTTAAAGTAATGTTCTTTGGGTTGCAGAGGAACAGTGAAGCATGAAATAATTTGAAAGAAAAAAAGAAATAATACTACTAATTTGAAAAAAAAAAAAGAAATAATCATTAAGTTTTTCAGGTCTTTTTTTGTTTCTTTTTTGCAGTAATGGAAAGCTCAACTTGATTAAACCAAAGAGTAATTACACTGAATGAATGATCTTAGTTCTGTCTTATCTTATGCCAAATTATGTGGAACTTCATGTTCAAAAGCAAAATTTCTTTGAGTAGCAAGAATTCAGAATCAAGTTCAAAACCTGATTTTCTACATCTTTTTTATGCTTATGAGCAACTTGATTTCTTTGAAACATTATTCGGACTCAAAAAGTTCTGTCAGCTAGTTATGTAAAAGCGCTCAACTATTTATAAAAAAACAAAGTGTGATTGCTGCATTTGATATCTTTCCATATTTACCAACCCATCATTTGGATAATGCACTTTTAGACCAAGATGGGAAGGTGGCCAATATGATGGTGATGAAAGCAAGCGGCAAGAAGCACTACATCTAGCCCTGGAATTGGGAGCAGATTACATTGATATTGAACTGAAGGTTGGTCACCCAAATGCTATGCTCTATGACAATGTTGTCATAGTTACTGCTTGCATTCTTAAATTCGATTTACTTTGTCATTTGTTGGAAACATGCTAATAAACATCCTTTTGCCTCTTGAAGGTTGCTTGTGACTTCTTTAATTCACTTCCAGGGGATAGGCCTGAAAATGTCAAAATTATAGTTTCTTCACACAACTACGAAAGTACTCCATCTGTTGAGGAATTAGGTGACCTAGTTGCAAGAATACAGGCTACCGGTGCTGACATAGTGAAGATAGCTACAACTGCTTTAGACATCAAAGACAATGCTCGAATATTTCAAGTACTTGTTCACTCTCAAGTAAGTAATTGACAATTTATACTTTTGACTTTGTTCCTTACAAACTGAAAGTTTTCTTTGAAAATAGTGACATATAGTATTAATCTTTGAAAATAGTGACATATAGTAATAACTTTTTAAGTCAATGCAAGATAAATGTATGAGCTTCCATTTGCAATTACGTTAACAATGCTTTCTGTTTTCTTTCTATTTTAACTAAATGCCAAAACTGTTTCTTATTTTCCTTGTTTCCCTTTTCATTATTTGTCGTAATAGGTTGTGTTCTTACAGTCTTTCCTACATTGTGAATGACATGTCAGCTGAATCTGTAGGTCCCAATGATTGGACTTGTCATGGGAGAGAGGGGTTTGATGTCAAGGATCCTTGCTGCAAAATTTGGAGGATTTCTCACTTTTGGTTCACTTGACGCAGGAGTAGTATCAGCCCCTGGGCAACCAACTGTGAAGGAATTGTTGGATTTATACAATATGAGGCATATAGGACCTGATACCAAAGTATATGGTGTCATTGGAAATCCCATCAGTCACAGCAAAAGTCCTCACCTCTACAATGCAGCATTCAGATCCACTAGTTTTAATGGAATATATCTACCTTTGTTGGTTGACAATGTCTCAAATTTTATCACTGCTTATTCATCCCCTGACTTTGCTGGATACAGGTAAAATCTGCTTTGGTAGGGTTGAGGGGTTTCTATAAGTATAGTATTTTTTTCTGTCCTGTTGATAATAAATATTCTTATTGACTCTCTTACAATATGCTCTGCAAGTGGTTATTTCTCTGTCTGGTGTTCCGGGTTCTAATGTCCCTTTTTGTGTCCATGAGTGCTTGCGGTCTCTCAATAAAATTTAGACTTCAATTTCCGGAGAAAGGCATTGGAAGACTTATAGAAGTCAATTCAAAGCTAAATATCATAGTCAATTTATATTTCTATTGTGTCAAAACTGTATGGTTCAATTTATGAACAAAAGTTGGAAAGATTTCAGAAAGTTATCAAAGAATCATAAGGTTGATTTGATAGAAGTTTCCGAGTATAATGTTCTTTTGTTATGCTTCCTTTTCCAAAAATTCCTAGGAATTTCCTCAGAACTTGCTCTCTTTGTCTACAAAAATTATAGTTGTCTTTTCTGAAATGCAGTTTTACTATTCCTCACAAGGAGGCTGGACTTAAATGTTGTGATGAGGTTGATCCCATTGCCAAGGTATTGGTCCTCTCTGGACTTTGGAGTGTTACTTAATGTCTTTGCCAAGTTATCACCTTTTAAAAATTTCAGTCTTAACATGTTGAGAAATGTGTTGCTTATCATATCAGAAAAGTATGTTTGATTTTTCTTTTTTTTTTTTTAATCTAAATCCTCACAGCAAATAGGAGCAATTAGTTGCATGATCAGAAGACCAACTGATGGAAAATTGATTGGCTACAATATTGACTACCTTGGAGCTATTGCAGCTATTGAAGAGGGACTAAGAGGTTAATGCATTTACAATATCTATTCAACATTCTATTTATGTTCTTTTTCTTCCATCCTTTCCAAGTGTGATGATTTAACCTACAATTTTTCCATTCTTTGCAGCATCAAATGGCACAACACCTGCATCTGGTTCGCCATTGGCCGGTAAAATATTTGTTGTAATTGGAGCTGGTGGTGCTGGAAAGGCACTCGCTTATGGAGGATATGAAAAAGGCGCTAGAGTAGTGGTTGCCAATCGCACGTATGGTAAGGATCTCCAAATAGTCATATCATTATGCTATATGACATGATTAGCATGAAATTTTATGGCTTTTTTATCAGTATATAAGCATATCAACAACATGGTGCAATGCTTTTGCTTGATATACTATGAAACATCTTTTGGGGGGGCACTGGCTTCATAGGATAAATCTGTTGCTGCGATTATATTAGGTTGAAACTTTGACAAAAGTTTATTCTTTACGTCTTTATTTTCTCTCTTGTTATCATTAATATTAATGAATTCAATGCAAATTTTTTTATCAGCTTTTATGGTTGAGACTTTGTGTATCTTGATCCATTTTTGTCATCTTTAATAGTGTGATCAGTGGTTTGTTTCTCATTGGCGAATGATGACGTTTTTTCTTCTTACGTCCAGACAAAGCTGAAGAACTTGCTGGCAAAGTTGGAGGACAAGCCCTTTCCCTTGCTGCGTTGAATGATTTCCATCCAGAAGAAGGGATGATCCTCGTTAATACTACATCTGTTGGAATGAAACCAAGAATCGATAAGACACCAGTATCCAAGGTTTGCCTCCTTAATTTTGTTTTCAAACACATCTATCATGAATGTCTTGCAAAAGCATAAATTTGTTCACTGGGAAGATCCATTACTTAGTAACAATGTCCTCCATTTCAGTTTAGACTGAAATTCAATTGGAACAGCCTTATCAGTTTTTGATTTATACATTTCTCTTTCCAGAAACAATCAAAACCATTCAATTTCTTTGATTGAGATCTCGGATATGAATTTTGTGTTATTTAGTGTTATTGTCATTGTTCTCTTTCTTGTATTAATCAACAAAAACTTGATGATCTTCTCTTGTGGAGAGCATTGCTTCCTATGCAAACTTAAGAATTAAATTTACATGAAGAGCTTTTAAATATCCACATGTAAACAGAAAAGCTTCATATGCCAAAAGTGAGTTTACACAAGTCTCTTTTTCCCCTGCAGGAAGCTTTGAAACACTACTCATTGGTCTTTGATGCCATCTACACACCAAAGTTAACCAGACTCCTGAGAGAAGCACAGGAGTCTGGAGCCACTATCGTATATGGCACAGAGATGTTCATCAATCAAGCATTTGTACAGTTCAAGATGTTCACTGGTTTGCCAGGTAAGATGAAGCCATGATTGACCGGATTCAAGAAATCTCTACCCATATTCTTTTTCTTTTACTAATCTATCATCTATGCATACTCTTTGCTTCTTCTAATGATCTTTTTTCATTTATCCATTGCATGCAGCACCAAAGCAACTCATTAGGGATGTGTTGGCAAGAAATACATAAGAAGGAATTTGCTTATTCAAACTCTTGTTGCAACTGAACTTTTTCAGTTGCAACAAATTTTCTTGTTCTTTTATTATAGCTATTAACATGTTGTATTGTTAAAATGTACTAGAAGATGGATCATTACCTTAGGAAAGGGTTCATGTAATGAAGCTCAAGCCCTGATTCTTGGTCTAGGTTTTTTTTTTTTTTTTTTAAATTTTAGTTTGGTCATTAATTTACAGGATAAAATCAAAATATTTCCCTATTTAATGAGTTTTCATTTTGTGAATCACAATGGTGGCTGCGTAAGATCTTCAGATTTCAATAAGAATTTTTTGTCCTTGTTTTTACATTTATTTACCAAAGGCTTCTTTTGCCATGGGACTTCGTTTGATTCGGTTGAAATTTTTATAAGAAGTGCCCTTAGATTAGAGCTGTTCTAAAAATACTTAAAGAGAAGCTAATATAGCCTTTGCTATAAAAAAATCGAAAAAATTATTTAATAAAATTTTTGTATATTTTTATAAAAATAAATTAATTAAAAAAATCAAATTATTGTAATTTCAGATTTAAAAATAATTTACTATCAATAAAATTTACTTTGAAATTAATTTAAAAAATATGTCAAATAAACTTTTTTTTTTAATTTCAAATGGTCTCAAATTAAGCTCAATAAAAAAACAAAAATTAGGCTCAAGGCCCAATCAGTGATCGTCACGATTGTTTTAATCTCTTTTTCTAAAAAATTCCTTTCTATTCGGGGTTGGATTCCAAACGAAAGAAACAAAAATAATTAAATAAAGCAAAAACCTTTAATTATCAAAAAAGCAAAAAGGTTAAAAAAATCAAGTGTCTTTACCCAATATTTAGTTTGACAATCCAACCCTTAGCCGTCTTTTTTAATTTTATCCGATTTTATAAAACTTTTTTATTTTTTTAAATTAAATTTTGAATCAAATCAGATTAAATATTTTAAAAAATAAATTAGAATGGAGTTATATGCAAATCAATCTTGATTCAATTTGATATTTATATATAATTTTTATTATTTATTTAATTATATATATTTAAATTTATTTATATTTTATTTATATTTAAAAATTAATATTTGATTAATTTTAAGTTAAATTATTTATGAATTTAAATATATATAAATCGAATAAAAAATATAAGTATTATTTTAATACCAAAATTCAAAACAAATAAAATCTTACGCGATTCGTTGCCACCATTGCCTAATATGTTGCAAAAATGAGTGAAAAAAAGAAATAAAATGAAAAAAAATCTTGGGGCAGTTTCAAAAAAATTTTACGCAAATTCAAGGAGTCTCACCGGCTAGTACTGCCAAATTCACACAGAAGGGGTATTCTTTTAAATTCAGTCTAAAAAGAAGGGTAGTCTGGTAAAATAAAAAATAAATAGAAGTATTTTTTTTTTTGGTTACCATAACTCTAAAATCCGAACACGGCCGTCCTTTTTTTCGTTTAGATTTCATTTTAAGAAAATTTCTTTTTTCCTTCTTCACCTCAATTAAAAAAAAAAACGCAGCGAAAAGTTCCCAAATACAGAACCCTAACATGTTTGTATGGTCAGGTTTCATAGCAGTGTTTTTCGGAGTGTAATTTTTGTTGTCATTTTCTTTTGGTTGCGGAGAAAGGGAACGAAAGGTAACGAAATTTGAAAATCTTTTGTTTCTGTTTTTCTTTTCTTGTTTTGAAACGGTTGATTTTGATTGATTGCTATTCTGTTTTCAAGAGTTGGATGTGAAATTTTAAATCTTTTCAAGGAGCTGTGAGTTTTTTTTCTTTTGATTTACTGATAAAAGTTGAAATTTGATGTGTATTAAATTTTTAGGGTTTGTAAAGGCTAAGAAATTTAATTTATATCTATAATTGCTGAAAATCGTTGCATGGTTAGAGATAAAATTGAATCAATTTGAATTTATTTTTGCCAGTTTTAGTTGGCGTAACTGTTTATCTGATATGGGTGTGGTCTGTTTTTATTCTGTTTACCTTTTTTGCTGCATTTTCATGTGTTTTTCTTTTGGAAAATTTATCAGTCCCTAGGCTATGGTAGGAATCTAATTAGATATATGTGCATTGAGAGGAATTACACTAAGGATATGCTTTGCCTGATTGGGGTATTAAGAAGAGATTTGGCTGAAAATGAGTTATTTGGAATTGAAATTTGAGCATTTTTAGTAGATATGTGAAAAATGGTGAAAGGGGAGGAAAGAATTAAATGAGATTGTGTTTAACTGTTGTTACTTCCTTTCTGTCCGTGGATAATGTGATGTGAGGTGAGCATGGATTTAAATAGTGTCTGCAACTCATGGCTGATAGTTAGCGGTAGCGCTTCATTCCACTACCGTTACTCACCGCAATGGAGGTGTGAATCATCATTCACAGAAATAGCGGTGTATCGCGTCTGCAAAGAATGGTATAATGGAAAATTGCGGCTATAACGGACGCTAAAACCGTTATTTGTGCATTTCTTTAATATATCTATGAATTTTATAGCATATTGATTCTAAGTTATAACTAAAATATGAGAAAAAATTATGTTAGCCTATAAATATAAGATTAAAATATCATAAATTACTTTAAATATCATAAGTAAATATTATCATATCAAACTATTCTTTTGCTTCATTTTATGGTAAATTGTGAAAATTTTTAAAAATTCACAACGATGAGCACGACTATAGCTATCTTATCCGTTATGTCTGCAATCGCGACAAATGCGTCGTGATCGAAAATGCGGCTACGACCACATTTTAAATCATTGGAGGTGAGAGAGAAAGTGGAGATACTTCAATTTTCTCAACTTAAGTTCTTATAAGTTCTAAGTAGGTGACAAGAAGGGAGAACTCTCTCCTTACCGGTGATATTTTCTTCATCTTGTTCCAACTCCAACTTATAACTTTACATATATATATTGCTTTGCTTTGGTATTGACAATTAGGAAGTTCTTAATTTTGATAGGCAGAAATGTGTGACTAAGACGAAGTTATGGCTAACCAATGTTGGTTTGATTTGATATGGACTTTACTGGCGAATTTGTGACTCTACTGTGTGTGTTTAGGCCTTCTGGGACATACTATATTTATGTGTCTGCTTGGAGCCAATTTTAGAAATCAAGTTGCACTAGGTAGAAAGACTGCAAAGTTTCTTGTACAAATGATTCTAGTTTCCATAAGCCTATTCACCTCCATAATGATGTTAAAACATTTAATGTACATATTTGATTAGGAAAATTTACTGTTCTTTAAAAAATAAAAATTGGTTTATTCCTTGTGTTCTTTTTTCCCTTGACGTTTACTCAATGTGCTTGACTGGCTTTAGACATTCCCAGAACCTCTTTCTCTCTCTCTCTCTCTCTCTCTCTCTCACACACACACACACACACACACACACATTCCTGTTCTGGTTTAAAATCTTATCTGCATGCCTGCTAATTTGACCAGGAACACAATTGGCTTTTTCACTCCTTGGGTCAGTAGACTATGGAACAAGAAAATAATAAAAATGAAGCTGACAATGCTGCAGAAGACATGGCAAAATCACAATCATCTGAAAATAAAAGCCCAAATTTATTGAAGGCCAAATCTAATATTGCAAAGTCAATGGCCAAGAATTTCTTGAAGACAAGAAAAGCCACTGGTACTTCTGAGGTTCAGAGGAAAAAGCAAGAGAAGAAAAACAAGAGTGTATCAGAAGGCAGTAAAGCAACTGAAAATGATGCTAAGAAGCTAAATTCAAGGGAAGAGAGCCAACAAAAGGATACAACCACCAGTATGGAGCATGTAGAGAACGGTCAGCAGATCGAAAAGAACAAAGAAAATACATATGCATCTGATAGCAAGGAAAAGAGTAGTAAGTCAAATGACAGTCCCAAGAAACTAAGAAGGGGAGAGGAGCCTGGTCGGAAGAATGAAGAAAAGCAGAAAGTTACGAAAAAGAGAAAACGAAATGAGCAGAAGGAAAAGCACAGTAATTCAGAGAAGAATAATGATAACAAAGAAAAGCATGATGATAAGGGAAAGAAACCAGAAAATAAAAAGAGAGAAAGGATTGATGGTCTAATATTTATGTGCAATGCAAAGACCAAGCCAGATTGTTTCAGGTACCATGTAATGGGGGTACCAACTGGTAAAAAAGATCTTGTTTTGGGTATCAGACCAGGGCTTAAGCTTTTTCTCTATGATTATGATCTCAAGCTTATGTATGGGATTTATAAGGCATCTTCTTCTGGTGGCATGAAACTTCAGCCCAAGGCTTTTGGTGGGGCTTTCCCTGCTCAGGTACCATTTTGTTATAGCCATCTTCCTTTGGTTACAACTCTTATTCTTCCTTACTTTAAGAGATTTGTGTATTAATGACTTCTGTTTCAGGTGCGGTTTAGTGTCCATGCTGATTGTTTTCCTCTGACAGAGAGCATTTTCAAAAAGGCGATCAAGGAGAATTATAATGAAAATAACAAATTCAAAACTGAACTTACTGCTAGACAAGTAAGGAATAGGTTTTTTACCTGGTAGTTAGGTGTTCATAGTTTCCTTTCATATTTTAGCATTAATGACATCTGACATTTCTTTTTCAGGTTCGGAAGCTCACAGAACTGTTCCGACCAGTTGCAGTTCATTCAACTGCACTGGTTGTTCACTCCCCGTCAAGGGGAATGGCTCGAATCCTTGAACACCCTGAAAATAGGGAAGCTCATGTTAGACCAAGGGAAGCAAGGCCCCCTTCAGACAGAGAAGCATCTGCTAGAGACCCTTATGCCAATATAAGTGCTAGAAGTTATTCTGTTTTATCTCATGAAAGGGATCGGCAAATTGTAAATGGAGAGTTGGCATCTATTCGGAGGGAGGACATTCATCGTGATTTATACCTTAGTGAGAAGGAATACAGGGCTTATGGTCTTCAGGGAGAGAGAAGAAGCTCAACTCTTCAGCATCATATCGCTCCTAGATTAGGACCTTACCAGGGAGATTATAGGGAGCAGCTTCTATGCCAACCGGAACCGGTATACAGGGAATCTGTGCCTATGCAGAGAGATATAATTCGCTCTGATTCTCGTTACTTGACTGAGAGAGAGTATCGGACCTATGATTTGGGTGCTACACGAGAAATGCAATCAGCTGTTTCTGCTGCAACTGCAAATACATCTTTAGCTGCTGCTTCTTCTTTGGATTCCTATGCTACGGATCCATATTATGGTCGTTATTACGGTGCTTCATTGGTGGACTCTTACCTGCCACATCCAAGAGAGGCACACCTGATTGAGACTGATCATCTGAGGAGGAGAGAAAGCAACCAAGTGGATAGAGTGTATTCCACATATGCTTCTGATGCTTTAGCATATGACAACCTGATGCATCGACGTCAAGATGTTAAGCCTGAAGCTGCTTCTACATCAGTTTCATCCCGGTATTCTTTTGCTGGTGCATCTTGGTCTTATCGCTGAGAGTCGAAGTTTGATTATCTGTCCCTTCATATCCGCAACTGGAGACGTCATTTTCTTTCAATTAACGACTTTTTCACTGTTATTTGCATGCATGTTGTTGAACTTCAATAGTCATCTCTGTTAAACAGTTTATCCTAAATAATTAGCATAGACTGTTTTGAAATCAATTGTTTTCGAGGTTTGCTGAGTACGGCTGCAGGTCGAAGTTCTTATTCAGCATACACTTTCTGTTGGATGGTCTAGGCTTGGGTTGGGGCAGCTGATAGTGAATGTGGATGGTTGTTTTTACGATACAGCCAATCCAAACCAACTGCCTAAGGAAGAAAACATGATTTGGGCCTTGATGTTTTGATCCATGCGCTGAGTTCAAGGAAGATCCTTGATTAATAAAGACGATGCTTGGGCATTTTTATGCTAGCAAAGGAGATTGTGATTTGTGAGTGGATGGAAATTGACAACATGTAATATCCAAGTACTTAACATGATTGTTGTTTAAAATCCCATAATATTGACTTTTCAAAAAAAAAAAATCCCTATAATATTGAAATGGGAACTGAAAATTTTTCTGAAAGTATATGAATTTGAATAGCTCTTTTGAATAAGACATCAAGTAATTGTTTTTAGTAACAGATAAGATTTTGATTTAGTGAAAAAAAAAACGGCTTTAGAACATTGAAGTTTTAGGTTTAAATTTTACTGTATGAGTTTGATTTGTCTAATTACGTTTTAATTAATTAATTAATTATTTAATAATATATTATATATGAATATAATACTTGATATGATTTAACTTCTTTTACTTATGTAATTTCGTAAAAAAAGAAAAAAATGTTCTTAGTGTCACATTTAGCACATTCTTATCCATAATTTGTATGGTGAAAATTGACACGGAAAAGGGTGGTTGTTGCGTGTAAAACGTCAGCAAACACTAAACATTTGTTTATTCAACACATGCAATGCCAAGAAAGACCAAATCTAACTTCTCTTGTTAGTCAATATTTGAAGTTAATACTTATCTTAAAAAAACTATTTCAAGTTTAAGTCACCAATTCGGATTGATAGCACGCAACCCTTTATTCCTACGTTTAAAAAAAAAAAAAAATTAAATATTCAATCTATTACAAATTCCACGTTCTATTAATTTTATTAATCAAAGTAAAATTCAATCTCAAATATCTTTTCTTACAGTACATTACAACTTTCTCAATATAAAAATCGGATTCTAATCAAACAAAAATTATCGCATCTACTTATAATGAGGTTTTAAAATTTTATAAGTAAAATTAACATGATGATATATACCTTTTAAAATATAATAAAAAATAAAAAAATAAAATATCTAACAACGTCTGGATCTTACTTATAAAATTAAAAGAAAAAAAAAATCACTGTTAGTGTATAAAAAACAATTTCACTACAAGCCTTCTATAAGCATTTCTTGGTAACTTTCTTCTTTAGATTGAGGAAATCGAAGGGAATTGCACATTTACAACCTTTATGAGAATTATTATATTAAAATTGGTAGCGGTCCAAAACCTTGAAATTTCACTGAAAAATACGAAGGGAATATTGAATAATCCTAACAATGAATTTTATTGACTGAAACATTCGACCAAGCCGTTGGAATTTGACAGTTCATTTCTTTCATTTAATAGATAAAATATTTAAATATTGTCTTTTGTGGACTTGAAACAAAGTTTCATACACGTAAATTGCCAAGCAACATCAAAACCCAACAATCTTTCGCTCTTATTCTCTGCACCAACGTCTTTATTAAGTTCGATACATTGTTTCTGCATACGAAACCAAACAAATCTTTGATTATTAAGACATGCAGGAACAAAGTCAACATAACTGACGAATAAATGACACGAAATCGAGTTATTCATGTTGGAGCTTATCTTCATAGCTATAAGAGCAAACCCTCTCTATAAATAGAAGCTGATAAAAAGATTGAGTAAGTGCAAGAAAATATAAAGGAGAAGAATTCTAGAGGATGATGATGATGGTTGACAATGGATTTGTTATTTTTTGAGTACCCTTTATTAGTCATCGTACTAATAATTTTGGATTCAACGTAGCTACGTACTCGGAAACAAATTATGAGTTTTTTATTTTTGTAATCATGTAAGTTTTTATGATTTTTTTTTCATATTACTATTCTTACATATTTAAATTTAGATTTTTTGAGCTCGAATCATGTCAAATAATTATAAGTTTAAGTATTTTCGGTTTAAGTAATTTCGAATCTAAGTTGAATTCAACTTTAAATTACTCATATCATTTTTTAGGTTTTATGAATTATGAATAAGTAACCATTTTATTATGTTTTCTTTGAGTTGAATTTGAATTAAATTTTTTTCAAGTTAGGATCTTTTTATGTTCAAATATTTTTACGATAAGATTACTCAAGTTTAAGTTTTCGGGACTGAATTTTTAATTTTTTTATTAAATTAGATTTAGGTTTAGACTTTTTAGAATAAAATTTTGAATTTATATATTTTTCTCACCTCTATATATAACTTTATTTAAATTATAAAGTGGGTTGATTAATTAGTATCACAGCAATTTGGCAACTGTCCTTAATTTTTTTTTCTCTTAGCCATATATTTTGTTGTTCAAGGAGCTGTACGTTAAAAAAGATTGACTATATCTAAATCTCTTCTCTCCTATATAATATAGTAAATATATTTAATATTAAAATTTAAAATTTTTTTATAAAATTAAATTTTCATAATTTTTAATATAAGAAAATATATGTAAAAATAATTTTAAAATATAAAAAAATATTAATTTTACATATTTAAAAAAATATAATTTTGAGACATTTAAAAAAAAATAGACAAAAAAAATGAAACAGAAGGAATATAAATTTTTTTAATAGATTCTAAAATTTTGAGAAAGAATAATCCACATTCATATTCTTGCACCTAACTAAAACGACGCATACATTTATCATGTGTCAAATACCTAGCTGGAAAATTTCATGATTTTAATTGATTTTTGGAAGTTCTATATTTAAAAATGCCTTAACCTATTAATTATTAGTCTTTTTTGCCTTTTTTTTTTTTTTACAGAAAAAGGATTATGATGAGGAGAAGTCTACGTCTGTGATCTATTCAAAAAATTTTTGGCTAATATTTCTTTCCTTGACTGTTCGAAAATTAGTTTTTCTTTGAAGAAAATTTATTTTTTTTTTAATAATTTTGACCCTTTGTTGTACTTTGTTGACTACATTTTGACCGTACGACGTGTCAACTAATTTTGAACATCAAAACCTAAAATACGTTACCTTCTTTTTTTTTTTTTTAATTCTCTCTCAGCAAATTGTCTTGAGAAACAAAAAATTAAAAAATTAATCCAAACCCAAAAAGATTTTAACAAACAAGGCCTTTTTGTTACCTTATATTATTTATAGGGACTAACTTTCGTGGACAGTACTTTTTAAAAAAGAAAAAAAAAATTCTTAAATTCAAATCTTAAGCCTCACGAAAAAGTTTAAAGAATTAGGGTTTTTTTTTTTTTTAAAGAATTTGAGATTTGATTTTAGAGAGAAAACGCAAAAGACATGGGATTGTGCTTTTCTGGTGACTTGAAAGGAGGCAAACAAGCCATTGGTGGGGTTCAAGGTTGGTCCACCATGAATAATAACGAAGGACATAACGAAGCTGTTGATCACTTTTATAGAGCTCGAGGTCATTGTCCTCTTTTTACTCAAATTGAGGTATAATTTTTATTTATATTTATAAGTATTTGATGTGTCTATTATTGACTATCAATAAATGTTTCATATTTTTCTTTTTTTTTTTTAGTTTTTGATAGAGGTTTTGCATCAGAGAATAATGAACTCTGTTTTTAAGTTTTTGTTGTTTTTAATTTTTATGTTGATTTTACCATATTGTTTAAGGTTTGTGTTTGTGTATGTTGGATTGATCAATGAGGTTAATTGATTCTTTGTTGCATTCAGGGCATCTTTGCCTATGATTTGGATATATTTTAAAGAGACCTTTTGAATGAATGTTTTCATTACCTGGAATTGTTTCTTACTGATTGGTCACACTTCATGTTTCCAATATGTGTATGGCAGTGGTTCTATCGTTTGTGTCTGTCCGTATGATGTTACCCTAAATTTTTTCTGTTTCTCTGCATCAGTCTTCATGCAAAGTTCATAGTTTTGACTTCTTCCGTTATGGACTAATTGATGTATTATTTTTGGTTTTTGCTACTTGCTTAGCAAGTTTGTAAGGCCACCTGCTTTAAATTGAACTAATCCACTTTAAAACTTTTTCCTAAATATTGTTTCCCTGGCTGAACCAGTAAGATTCTCATTTTCTAGATTCTGATTCAAATTGCGACTGAGAGGTAGAAACCATGTGTTCAACCATTGGTTATAAATATTTGACCATGTGCAAGGGTTTGACATGATATATTTATACCCTGGATGACTAGATTTTTTAATTTTGGTGGCGCAAATAGGACCACCAGATGCTTTTATAATTTGATTTTTTCAATTTTGGCTTATGTGAATGTTTTATAAGCTAAGACCTACCAAGAGACGACCATTTGGACCCTTCTTAGCAGTAACACTTCTCACTATTCTTAACAGGAGTAATAACTAACGAGTAATCAACTATTCATATCTTATGCTGGAAATCAAGTATTTGCCTGGTGACAGTCTAATGCCAGCATGCTTTGATGTACTTAAAATGGTAAATATAAATTAATTGAAGAGATAGTCTTCATGCTCAAAAAGATTAAATACTAGAATTGTCATGTTCCTGAAAAGAATATATCGGTGCTCTACGTTCTCTTCTATTGTGTTAATGATAAGTTCATTTTTCCAGTCCATGATCCAGCCTTTTTGCTAATGAAGGGTGATTATTTGTTTCCAAAAAACTTAATGTTGCATGGAAACAATGTCATTGGATGCAGTTGGGATAGTAGGATACATAATAATAATGCAACTACAATTTTAAATTCCCTGGAGAGATATATTAATGTTATAATGTGAAAACTCTGCCACTTATGATGTTTTAATGTGATTAAAATGTGCATTGCAGTTATCTATGTCAGCTTCAAATTTACGTGATTGTGACATCACATCAAAGGTAAGATTGTTGATATCTTTTCTTCATTTTATGTGCAAGTGTCTTTATCATTTTCTGATTACAAATTTGGGAATTTATGACTTGAACTACACACCTTATTGATGTTCCACATCTCAAAATAAGATGTATAGAACATGTTGTGCATATAGACAGTTCCTGAAAATTCAGGTCTTTTATTGCATGTAAGATTTGCTTCAGATGGTAAAAATTGACTTTACAATTGCACTTGTTCACTGATTTTTGCTGGATTTCATCTAAAACAGTTTTTTTCTTGTAGAGTGATCCTATAGCAGTTCTGTATGTAAAGAAAAGGGATGGGACAATTGAGGAGCTTGGTCGCACTGAAGTCATACTCAACAGTTTGAATCCTGCTTGGATTAAGAAGATTAATGTTGCTTATCAGTTTGAGATTGTTCAAAATTTGGTGTAAGCTTCTCATATTTTCTCAAGTGTCTATATCTTTCACTTTTTTTTTGGAGATATACAATAGGTTTGTGTGCGTCTGCGTGTGGATTATGAGACTGACGTTCCTTTCTTTTCCTCCTACTCAGTTTTCATGTATATGATGTGGATACAAAATTTCACAACATACCTGTGAAGGTATGTCAAAATTCTTTTTTCAAGGCTTTGTCTGTTGTTTAATTTCCAAATTTAATGAATGAAATTTACAAGTTCAGCAGAGATATCAGTAGACAATGTCACGTTACTATGGCATCTTTACCAATCATAACGTTTCAAGTTTATGTTGTGCTAGATGAATCTCCTTCCTATATTTCAGAAATGAAACTCCTTTGTAAATGAATTTAGTAATTTGATTCATATAACACCTAAAACTTGAGGAGCCTAAGAAATTTATAATGTATCATCATAGAAGAACGATTGCCAATGAGTGCAGGGCTTAGATGTAAAAGTGTTTTACAAATTTTACCACTGGACCAAAAAGTTTCCAACTTGTGAAAAAAGCAATGGTTTCATAAAGATTCTTTGGTTTTGGAAAGTTGGTATTGGAGCTTTCCTTTTTATTTTTTCTTTCTGCTTATAAGTTACCGTAAGACAAGTACTACTGCTTTCTTTGACACAAAAAAACAAGTCATGCAAAGAATTTTTGGATGAAAGTAAACTAAAGTGGTAATTGATAGCATGTCGCTTATTATTTTGGTTGAATAATATTTGAATTTCATAAATAAAATTTTGTGCTGATGTGCTAAATAGCCATTCAAATTTTCTATAAATGGAATTGATGATCATAAAAATTAAGTCTCCGATTTAAAGAATTAGAGATTTATGCATTCAACATGGTATTGATGAGTATAAAAAGTAAGTCTCCGATTTAAAGAATTAGACATTTATTCACTCAACATGGATACTCAGAATAAATGCAAAAGTGAGGATTGAATTGAGAAGGAAAACTTTGAGAGAAATCTCATAAAGGATGAATATTTCAGATTAATGTAAACATCTTTGTCAGTTTTTTTTTTTGGTTCTTTAGTGCAATGTTCCCAAGATTGATGAGAAATTTGCTGAAAGTGGTAACCAAACTATATTATTCAACTTTTCTATTTTGTTGCTTTGTAGGTGCTTAAGTTGAATGAGCAGGATTTTTTGGGAGAAACCACTTGTGTTCTGTCTGAGGCGAGTTGCATACATTATTGTTTCTTGGATTTTAATATGTATTTCTTTCGTTTGAACTAGTGAAATACTGTTTATAATTATGTCATTTGTTTCTACTGTCTTTCAAGTGAAGTTCTTGAAAAACCTGCACTATATTTTTCATCATGGCAATTAAATGCTATTGCATTTCCCTCAGGTCATCAATAAAATTTGCTCGTCACTGCTAATTTTCCAAAAGAAGTGGCTTAAAACCATTTAGAATGATTTATTAAACCATGCTTACTGGTAACATATGTGTTCTTCAACTTTGCTTAACAGATAGTGACCAAAAGAAATCGATCTTTAACTCTCAATCTCCATAGCAAAAACGGGCCCGGAGGTTTCAAAAACTTTGGGACAGTGACTGTCCATGCTGAAGAAACTTTTTCATCCAAGATTGCTGTTGAGATGAAATTGCGTTGTTCCCAATTGGACAACAAGGACATGTTTTCTAAAAGTGTACGTACTCATGATGCAAACCAGTTTGGTCTGTGAATGTGCGTTTATGTGTTCTAACTTCCATACTCTTCTTTTTTGCTTATAGGATCCTTTCTTGAGAATATCAAGACTAACTGAAAATGGACATTCTGTTCCAATATGCAAGACAGAGGTGATAGACAACAATTTAAATCCAATTTGGAGACCGTTATGTCTAAGCATGCAACAGTTTGGAAGCAAGGCAAGCTTGCAATTTCTTTAAGATTTCTGTGATAATATCTTACGAGTTTATAAGATTTTTGTCACCATAGTTACATTTCTATGTTCTATGTTGATTACAGGATAACCCATTACTTATCGAGTGTTTCGATTTCAACAGCAATGGCAATCATGTATTTATTGGGTAATTATTGAAATTTTTGGCCTCTGCTTGTTGATTTTGTTCATTTTTAGCTTTTACTAGTTTAAAGTGTTTGTTATCTGGAAAGAAAAAAGCTGATTTTGGATTTCTTTATTTACTTAACCAGCCAACTTCAGAAATCAGTTTCTGAGTTGGAAAAACTTCACAAAGACAGAAGTGGTGCAAATTTGGTTTTCCCATCTAATCGTGGTCAGGAAAAGGTGTTCATTCGTGCTTGGCATCAATTTTTTTACCTAAATAGGTCAATCTGTTCTTAAACATACCCTTACCTTGCAGGTTCTGAAGGGCCAGCTCTTCATAGATCAATTTATTGAGAAGGAGCAATTCAGCTTCCTTGACTACGTATCTAGTGGATTTGAGCTAAATTTTATGGTTGCCATTGACTTTACAGGTAAATAATCTTTGTGATCTTGGATATGCTTGTCCTAGGCTTTTATTTCCTATTTCTGATTTTATGTTCTGGTTGAAATTTAAATATTTGACATGTCCAGCTTCAAATGGAAATCCTCACAGCCGAGATTCCTTGCACTACATTGATCCTTCAGGCCAATTGAATTCTTACCAGAAGGTAAGTCTGGGATAGCTCTTATTGATGCACTGCTATTTAGTGTAGAAATGTTCTCCGTGAGATAGCATAAGATTATTTGCAATGTATTACATTTGCATAAAACAAAGTGTATTTGTTTTGGTCATATAATTTGTTGAGATTTACCTTGTTTGAGTTCTCTAGAAGCCAACACTAGTGGTTGGTGAATTGGTGGCTAACTTACTAACGACGTCCTTAACAGGCTATAATGGAGGTTGGGGAGGTCATGCAATTTTATGATTCTGATAGGAGGTTTCCAGCTTGGGGTTTTGGAGGAAGGACATATGATGGCACTTTGTCCCATTGTTTTAACTTGAATGGTATGAATGGCTATGAGGTAAGAGAAGCTGAGTTTGTTGTTTTCAACATGATCCTTCACCTGGAAAGCCACGAGTTAGGTGTTAAATATATGCTGCTGTTTTGAGAAAAAAGTGCCAAATGATGAATAATCCTACTTCATTTTCTTTTGTAATTTCATGATAAAAACTTACAACTGTTTTCATTCTAGTTATGGGATTGCAAGCTGATTTTTTTTCTAATATTGTTTCTGTTGATCAAGTTGTATCCACTTCTTCCATTTAAATATTTATGATTATTAGCACTGTCATCACTACTTTTTTATGATTAAGGTTATTTGAGTTGAAAAGAGTTTATTTGAAAATATGAAACCTTCACTCTGGAATAAATTTTCTCATCTTTCACTTTAACTAGATTCAAAATCTTAGTCTCCAAGTTCACAATTTTTTCTGCAGTGAATTTTCTTATATACTTGTTTCTTATAACTTGCCAATCAGTTGCCGGTAAAAAGAAAAATTTACATTATGGCTGCTGTTGTTATGAGATCCACATTATTATTATTTTTTTTCCAGATGCTTATGAGACCCTCATTACATTGACTACAGACTAAAAGTTGCAGCTAACTTGTTTGATTGCACTTGCTGAACTTGATTAACATATGTTGAACCCTGCATTTTTGTCTTTTCTAAGACTTGTTAATTTACTTCCTTTAACAGGCTGAAGGAGTTCAAGGTATCATGGCTGCTTATGCTAGTGCTCTGCACAATGTCACTCTGGCTGGACCTACATTTTTTGGCAATGTGATCAACACGGCTGCAAAAATGGCTGGCCAGGCTACCTCAAATAACATTACCAAATATTTTGTGCTGCTCATTATAACGGTAAAAAGGGGTTATTACTTCTGTGTGCTTTAAGAATTGTTATTCTCTCTCTAACTTACAAAGATATGTGGCCTTATGCAGGATGGAGTGCTGACAGATATTCAAGAAACAATGGATGCTGTGGTTAGGGCATCCGATCTTCCTCTATCTATTCTTATAGTTGGAGTGGGGGATGCAGATTTTAAACAAATGGAGGTATGCCCTTGTTTTCTAGAAGCCTTGGGATATTTGAATTGTCAGTTTTTGCATTAATAGAGTCACCCGAGCTGTAGTTGCTTGTATATTTTCAACTAAAAAGATAATAAGAAAAAAGTTTTCGGTCTTATTATTTTTTAGATTCTGGATGCTGATGATGGACATCAATTGGAGAGTTCAACAGGTCGGTTGGCTACACGAGATATTGTACAATTTGTTCCCATGCGAGAAGTGCATAGTAAGTTTTGTTCTGCCTTAGCAAGCTTTTCCTTTTTATCAAGCCCTTGAATGCATCTTTGCCCTAAGTAGTTTCTACAAGATGGGGCACTCAAGCTTAAATCACGCCCCCCCAAATTTAATGATCAAAAGGACACAAAAGAAACATATGTATCTTTACCTTCTGTTTCCTTAAGATGACGTGGTCGGGAGTTTGATGGTTAAATGGCTTCAAGTTGATTCTTAAAACGACCTGAAAACCTAAAGCAGGCAATGGTGCATGATCTGCATGAGATTTCTACCTCAGGCAAATAATAAGATAACTATTTGGAGACTTCAAATCAAAATAGTGGTAGACTTGGCTTGGCTGTTGAAACAATTGGCAAGCACTTCTACTGGTTATAATTCTAAATGTTAATAGGCTGAAAAGATGATTGAGAGCTCTTTTTCACTATTATCTCTTCGAAGCCTAAGAAAAATTGGATACAGTGATACCGAACTTAAAACTATGTTCTACTTTTGATTATAGACACTTTCTTCATTTTAATTTTGATTATACTAATCAAGTGATGGTGTTTCTACAGGCGGGCAGATTTCTGTTGTTCAAGCTCTGCTGGAAGAGCTGCCAGGGCAGTTTTTGACTTACATGCGGTCTAGAAACATTAAGCCACTCCAACATGCTTGAGTGCAATCTTTTTTGGGTTGTAGCACAAAATGTTTCAGAACCTTGGGAATGGAAATAGGGTTGCAGCCGTCTCTGGGCTAATGTCCACAAGATAGCCTAAGCAGCAAAATATAGATGTTTTAGAACTGTTAATATTGTTTTTTTTTTTTTTTTGGGGAGCAGGGTTAGTGCCATGTAAGAAGGCATTAACAACTGAAATTGGTCTTTTCATACATATTTTTTTATTCTTTATTTGTCGTGTTAATCCTTTTAGATTGAATAAAAAAAGTAAATATTTTTAAAATCAGTTTGTAGTTTAAAATGAAAAACCATGATAAATTGTACAATGATCTTTTGTTACTGATACTAAAAGTTAACATCTTGTCCATCAATCTTGGAAACTCTTGGTTTATAGTGTTTTGAAAGAACTGAAAAGAAAAATCATAAACAAAAAAATAAAAATAAGTAGGTTTTTTAAGCGTTTAATCTATTTTTGTATCTTATACCTTATTATTTTCATTATTAAAAAAATATTATGTATATAAAATTTTTTTGAATCCGTAATCATGAGCGTCAGTTTCAACGATATATCACCTTATTCATGGGTAAGTGGACAAAAAATGTAGTTTGGTAAGACTTTGTAGCAATGTAGTTGGTTGGGTGGAAGGGGTGGGGACTCTAGCAGCACCTTGTAGTAATTGTCTATAAAACCCCCTTCATCTTTTTCCTTCTTTCAATTTTGCCACTCTCTTTCTCTCTCATTCCTCCGCCTACACCCCTCTCCATCATGGCCTCTGCAACTCAGTCATCTTCTTCTCGGGTAATTTACAGACTCAACTCTCTCTCTCTCTCTCTCTCTCTCTCTCTCTCTATATATATATATATATATATATATAACAAAAAAACTGGGCTTTCTTTTCTGTATTGATTTTTTAACTGATTTTGTGATTTAAACTTGCTCCGATGAAAGCATTGGTTTTAGTTGTAGAACAGAAGAGTTTTGTTAGATACAAATGTTTGGCCGTGAATTTGGGACTGGAATGGTAATGTGCACAGTGAATATTAAGATACAGGCAAAGTACTTGATCCACTGCCCTGTGGGTAATATGTACATTTTCAAGTTGGAATCGTTAAACAGCCATCAGCCAGGCGTTTGGGAGCCTAACAAAATGTTAAATGTTAGATTCAACATGCATCACCTGAAGCTCTTGTGCAGCCTCGTTTTTCTTTTTCTTCAACCACTGTTTCAACCTTTTGGTTGTTTCCAGAGCATCAGATAACTTAATTTGCTTTTGAAATGGATTCTGTTTCTTTCAATTCTTGAAGATATGCAGAATTTCCATCCAAATGCTCCTCTGGTGTACAAAATCCCAGGCAAATTTTATATTTTTGGTTTCTCTAGGAGGAAAGGATGTACTTTAGATTTTGATCATAGAATCCAACCTGAGCAGTCACGGACAAATGCTACCCTCTAAATCTACAGGCACAACCTTTCTCACATGGTTTTTGTCTGCATAATGATCAGGCAAATCTAGCCATCAAATTTGACAATTTTTTACCACATGTACAGCTTCAATTGACCACATGCATGATATCAAGGACAAAGTCTCAAGGAATCTGTCATCTCATTGTTCAACTTTTACCATCATAGTTACCAAAATAACACAATTTGATCATGAAGCAAGGTAGAAGGAAGAGAGCCACTCGGCCACATGCATTTGTCTAAGTTTTTGGAGTATAGGAATGAGTGAGAAGAAAAATGATTACTTATTTATAATAATAAAAATTTCCACTTCTACACAATAAACCTGGCAGAGACTCTTTTAACTTTTCTATATTTTTAACATTAGCTGCAAAAATATTCCCAAAAATTCAAAAGAGAAAAAGCCTCTGCTGCTGCCATAGATATATGGACATATCTCTCAATCTGAATCACTTTCCATACTTCCCATGGCCTTTAATCCTCTTGGTCTCTGAATAATGCCAAACCACATAAGAAAAAAAAAAGAAAATAACTACATCTGCAGAATATATTGAAAACTGAAAAACAAACTATATAAAAAATAAAAATCCAAGAATTATTTGTAGAAATCTAGACTCTAGAGGAAGAGAGACTCAATCATGCACCTTTTTAGAAGTCTTCTTTTCCCTAATTTCATATCTCTGTTGGCACATATCACTCAACCATGCTCCAGGGCTCACCAGCTGCCAACCACCAGAAGAAGTCAAAGTTAGACCAAAAAAGGAAACCAATTTTCAAAGAAATCCACAAGATAAATCATCAAATTTTAATCCTACAATAATCCAAAGAGAAAATCATTTTGCCTCCAAAATCCAATTCAAATTATTACATTTTTTTCCATCAAAAAACAAAAACTACATATGATTCAATTATTGAAAGCTATGCATAAACCAGCTATATTACTTACAAGTAAGATCCTTTGGATAATCTTGGCTCTCTTTTTAGGCCTTTGAGGGGGTTTACACCCTTTCATTGCCATAAAATCCTCCTCCTTTTCTTTGTGTGACAAAGTGATATACAGCTTTGGCCACACTAGCCCTTTGTTATTGTCTCCATTATTGCTATCCAGGGCAACCTTCCCATTCTCACCCACCAATCCCACTGCTGATCCACCTGTTGTGTAGTACCTATCCTCCTTCTCCGGCAACAAGGCTTTCTGGTGCTCTATCGTACCTGTCCGGAGTATAGCTGCCTCAGAATTCCTACAACCAAACATACAAAAACAAAAGTAAATTTCACAAATTTACCAGTTTGCTTGATCATTATAAAAATTTTACTTGGGAAATTTCTTAACACCATGTTTGGTTGCTAAGGGAACAAAAAATAGTAGTCATAAAACTAAAATGTCATAAAAACAGACAAATTCGAACCTCCCTTCTATCTATTCCCAGCAACCAAACAGGGGAAAGGGATAAGAAGGTGTCCAACCTCATTTTCTCGGAAATTCCTTAAGACACTGACAGAAAGAAATGGATTTTCTTTCTTTTTTAAACCCAAAAAGATTCCACATCCATTCAATCTTTTCTCCCCAACGCAACAGCATCTTAGAAATCGAACAAAAGGGTACGAAGAAAAAAGTTCAAAAAAATGTAAGAAATGGAAGAAATTTTCATCGTTTTCAAACCAACAAAAGGTGCCAAGAAAATTCATGATTTTTTAAACGCCGAAAAAGACTGATCTTCTTACCTGGTGAGACGATGATTGGATTGAGAAAAAGGAGAGATTTCTTTATCTAAGAGCCGAGAAGTGATTCTCCTACGAATTATAGCATTCGATTTATGAGAGATTTTTTGAGGGTCTTTAACTCTCACACATCTTAACCTCTTTCTGTTCCCCCACTGTAAAAACAGCTCTGGCTCTATTGTTCTACATGCTCTTTGGCTCCTCTCTTCTTTCCCCATCTCTGCCATAAAAAACAACCAAAAAAAAAAAAATCAAACAAGTTTCAATTTTCTTACCCCAAAAAAAATCGAAGTTGAAAAAAGAACGAACAAATATTGAAAGACCCAAGATGGAATTATTGCTGAAGATAATAAAAAAATGGATTTTTTTTTGGAGAAAACACATTAGGGTGGTTTATGCTGTAAAAATCAAAGAGATGATGAAAATAAAGTCTGGGTTGTTGCTGTTTTTGATGAAGTAAGGGAAGAGTCATCAAAGAAGAAGAAATGTTATTTGGAGAACAAAGAAAATTGGAACTTTGAAAGGAATTTGTTGCCTGACCTTAAAGATCTAAATAAATACACTATAATCTTTCCTCAAACAAGTCCTGAAATTCAAAATAAAAGAGATATCAGTTACCCAATAAGAAAAAAAAATACAAAAGCTTGTGAACAATACAGAAGAAGAAGAGAAGAAATCTTACAGTGAAACACTATCATCCCAGAGGAAAAAAAAGTTGGGTTTTCTTTTTTTTTTCCTAAATTGTTACTTCAATTTCTCTGTTTTGTTTTGTCAATTGAATTTAAGGAGGGATTCTCTTCTTGTTGTTTCTCTGTTTCCCTTCACTCTATTCTATCGTCATTCCTCTTATCCGTTTCTTTCTGATTTCTTCACGCTTTTCTCCATCTGTTTTTTATTTATCATCTATCCGCTACCAATGCAAAAATAATTTAAAAAATGGAGATTTATAACCACCGTCTGATTTTAATAGTACGGCTTGATGGAATGTTGGGACCCACTTTAGATTAAGCAAAAATGCAAATACAAAATGATTGTATACATGTACGTGGTAAGTGAGGTGATTAACGAAAACCAAGTAGGCTAGGCCAGTGCCACTTTGTTTTCGCAGTCAACTTGAGCCGAGATTGGGCTAAAGCTTTGCGTTTGGTATGTTAAGTAAGGACTTTTTCTAGAAACTATATCTTTGGGCTTTACAAATAAAATCTTACAAAGATGGGCTTCAATTCAGGTCGACAAGAAAACGAGCTTGTTTTCCTATATAAAATATCTGAAATAATTTTTTATTATTTATTTGGATTCGAATTTATTAAAAATTAATTAAAAATTTAATTTTTATAAATTCGTTAAATTCGATATAGATAAATTTATTTAAATCGGTTCAAGAGAGAATATAAAAAGTCCATTAGCTTTTTGTCTAAATTAAGGGAAGTAGCTTTCTCCATTGTTGAAAAGTTCAAGCGTAGGGGTGAGTAAATGGTTAATTTGATCGATTCGATTTGAAAAAATCAATAATCGATTTAATCGATTTTTATTTAACAAATAATCAAATCGATTAAATATTATTAAATAATCGATCATAACTGAATCGATCAAAATCGGTTCGATTCGATCGATTCGATTAAATAATCAATTTTTTTATCATTTTTCTTCCTATTATGAATAATTATTTAACTATAAATTCAATTTAATAAAATTCAAACTCTAGTATCATTCAAACTAAATTACTAAAAAATTTAATAATTTTAACAATATTTTACTAAAAATAAATAAATAAAAATATTTATCTCAATTTTTTTATTTTAAATTATTAAAAAGTAGGTTAATTCGATCAGTACGGTTATTAATTTTAAAAATCGAAAATCGATCGAATTAATCAATTTAATCGATTTAAAAAATTGATTATAATTAAAATCGAATAAACCAAATTGATTCAACTGAATTTATTCGATTTTGATCGATCTAATCGATTCAAATCGACTTTTGCTCATCCCTATTCAAGAGTGTTTAAATTTGATTGAAGTCACTATACAAAGGTTGATATTCTCACGGATCAAAAGCTTAAGCTTAGCTATCTCTTATAAAACTAATTGTTGCTAGGCATGGAATTTTATCGAAGATTGGTCGTTAGGCAGCACTATTCAACGCCTTATATCATTTTTAATGATACTTTTTCTTAAATTCTGTTGTATCGGTGGCAACTTCCGCCGTATTAATTGAAAATTAAGGAAAGAACAGTTCAAGGGAAGAGAGAGAAAAAATGAGAGAATATTTTGGGTTGCTTAGAATGAAAGAGAAAAAGAGAGACAATGACTTGGATATATCAATTTAGAGTGGAAATAAATGAAAATATAATTTATCTTTCATTTTTTTTTATAAAATATAAAGTAATCTAAGAATAATAAAAAAAATTATAAATATTAATTTTTAAAAATAATTGTGTAAATAAATTAAAACATCAGAGTTGGGGTTGTCATAATTTCCAAAACGGACTTTAATTACTTGACCAACCAATGGGGTGGCTTTAATTAACAACTAAAACCACGTGATAAAATTTAATAGTTTTTTCAGTTTGAAGTGTAAATTAAGCAACATCAATTAAATTTAGGCAAATAAAACATCATTGATTAAATAAAATAGGGGAAATTGGTCTTGCAGTTTTCACATAAAAAGAAATCCACCTTTTATTTGGCTTGTATGAATTTTGTGGGTTTAAAAAATGGAAAGAGATGGCGAGTTAAGAGAAATGGTGAGAAAAAAAAAAAGGAAAAGCAAGTGCATGGCTCTAAACTATTTGCTCGTGAACAACATTGTTCTATTCTTTAAAAAAAAAAAAATCTAAAGATGAAATTGTATATGTGAGGTTGAAATATAGATAATAATTTTGAGGTTCTAATTTTGAGATTCTATTATTGATTAATATGAAGTGAATTAATCTCTCATTAAGAGTGTAAATGATATATTAGTATTCGTAAGTTACTCGAATTCGATTTGAATAAAATTCGAATTTGGTTTGATTATTATCAAATTGAACTCGAGCTTAAATAGCTTGATTCATCAATCGAGTCGAATTTGAGTATTCTTATACTCAGTTCGAGTAACTCGCGAGCTTAATCGAGTTTTTATATTAAATTTTTTTATTATTTTAATTAATAAAATATTTCAAATTTGAGCTCGAACTCGAACACAAATAATCAAGTTCTTGTCGAGTACAAGAATCGAATTTATTTTTACATATTTTCAAGCTTAATCAAACGAGTTCGAGTAACTCAAATTCGATCACGAATCAAGTTCAAATTAAAAAAATAAAATTCGATCGAATTCAAATCGAGTATCGAACCGCGAGTTAAAAGTCGAGTTTAAACTCAAACTTCTCACTGTATCTACTCGACTCGATTATACCTCTATCTCTCACCTCTCACGTGTTCTAAGTTCTAAACCTCAATAAAAAAAATTACTAATTTATTTTAAAATTTTTGTTTTTTTTTTTTTATCACACACAATTTGGGGCACAATGTTTTCCACCACAAAATTGACATGAATTTTGCGTCAAAAAGTGAATAATTTTGAATTTCAAATTTACTTTTGATTCTTATTTTTGTGTTAATTACAATAAAAGAACTGAATAAATCTTAATTTTATTTTTTAAAAATTAATATCTTTTTGAACTCAAAGTTTCGTGGATATAATTCATGTAATCATTTAAAAAATTCATATATAATAAATTTAAAAATTGAATCTGACACATATTATCTTTTTTTTATTCTCAAATTTCGAATTCTTAAAAAAAAAAACTTATCACCTTATGTACATCTTAGATTTTCTCTAACAAAAACTTTAGCCAAAAGAAAATACCCTCACAAACAGCCATTGTCCCTTACCTTTAATTATCTCAAATTTGCAATTGACAAAGCAAACTTAGTTTATTTGCATTAAAAAATTATTATAAGTAATCAAATCACCAAATTATATAAATTGGTGAATGCCAGTGAATCAAAACAGCACACACCAGCCCTACATTTCTAACCACAAATCCCATATAAATATTTTAATATTAACTATCATCGCGTCAAATACCCAAATTGCCATAAAAAATTGAAATCAAACCACAGAGCATGATTTCACACAGGGTTAAAATAGTCTTTATAAAGAACAAAATTTTGTAAAATAAAAAGTTTCTATAGAATTGAGTTGCCCACACTGCCCAAAAGAAAGTAGTGGTTACGGCAATGGACCCGACAAATAATGCCCACAATAACCGTTGGCGACAGCTGTGTGGCACCAAAGTTTAAAGCCACCCTGTCCCGACGAAAGGGCAGCCCTAAAAAGGAAACCATGTCCATATGGTTGGACCAACGGTCATCTCGGGCAGCCCACCCGTAAATCCCTAAAATTTTCTCCTGCCCGGTCCTATATAAGTATCATTTTTTGCCATCCCACTATTGCTTGTCTCAATTTGTTCAAGTAACATTCTCCCCACTTTCATTCTCCTCTCTTTGCAACAAAATTTTCCTGCTAAGACCACATCAACAATGGAGGCATTGAGGGTGAGATTATTTTTCGCCATGGTGGTTGCGCTCATGGCCGTGTCTACGGTCCAAAATGTCGCGGCAGCTGATGCCCCGGCCCCTAGCCCTACCTCAGATGCCATCGCCTTCGTGCCAACGGTGTTTGCTTCCCTTGTTGCTCTTGCATTTGGCTTTCTGTTCTAAAATGGTCGTGTTGGATGAGCTACAATATATAAATATATATATATATTTCTGATCTTTTAAGATTGGGGTTTATGTAGAATTCTTTTGTCTCAAGTTTGATTCTTTCTCTCCAAAGGGCATATAACTCCTATTAGTGAATTAATTATGGGATGAGAAAGATCGAAAAGCTTGGGATTTTGCTTTTTACATGTGACTACTGCTTAATGAATTCATACTTTTCTTATTGTTTTAATTTAATGTATAATTGATGTAATTTGTTTGTTGGTGAGCTAATGAATTATTTGTTTGCTTATGATTTCTTTTTATTCTTTGACCTCTTCTTTCTTGGATGGGTTGTTGGATTGTTCTCTCATCACACCAAAAGTTTTCCATGAAAAAAATTGCCATAATTTTCTTCTGTTTACTTATGAATCAGTTGTTTGCCCCCTCATTTCACAATTTACTCAAGCAACTGGGCATTAATCTTCAAAACAGAGGATCTTTACCCAATATGTAAACCTTGGAATGTCTCAGTTGTAGGTGGATGATTTGCTTTCAATTTGCCATCTAAATATACAAAACCAGCATTAATGGAACTAAACAGAACATCATCATCCATATAACAGAATTACTATGATCATTTAGTTCTCATTAAAATCCCATATTGTAAAATCAGAAAAGAATTATTCTTTCCTTCTTTCTTATAAGTTATAACCCAGAAAATATTGAAGATCTTTCAATCAATTTGTAAGTGCCCCTATTTTAATCATATATATATATATATATATTAAATATGTGTTTGGTATATTATATTAATGATATCATGAATGTTATATTAAATAATATGATTTTATCTTATATTTGATATATACAAAAATTAAGATAGAATAATTTTATTATTGGTTAAAATTATTTTTTTTTAAATTTATAAAATTTAAATTATTGATATAATTATAAGAATATAATAAGACATATAAATTTAATTTTTTGATTAAAAATAATCAAATTTACTTTGAGAGAATTAAATCATTTTATGAATTGATTTTTTTTATAATTCTATCCATTTTTTTAAATACAAATCAAACATTATATAAAATAATTATCATCATATTATGTATCAAATATAACTTAAGTATATAATAAATTTAAAATTTAAATTTCAACACTTCAATTGTGATTTTTTTTAATCTCTTTTTTATTTACTGGCTACACATTAGAGTTAACGTTGTATTAAGTATTAGGATAAATATTAACAAAAATAATTTATAACATTTAATCTTAGTTTTAAAATATAGCAATTTTCACTACTTTAATTAATTTAAAAGTGATGTTTTTAAATTTCATTTAAGAAATTAAAAATTGATTCATGTTTCATTTGATTATATACAGAGAAATTAACAAACTTTTTTTTGATGGAAAGTAATTCATAGATTAATATAATAAATAATTAATGAATTAGAGCATGATAATGTTATAATATTTTTTATGAAATTTCTCAATAATGTTTAAAATAATCCTTAAAAATTATGTAGTGTGATCTTAATGTCAAAGAAAATTTTGAGCCTGAACAAAGATTAACAATGACCCATCTTAAAAAAATTTAGTAGTAATATTTTAGTTTCATACTAATCATAAGTTTTTATCAATAATTATATGATTTATTGATAAAATATTAAATTTGATCAAATGTTAAATATTTAAAATATCACATAAAAAGGATTAAAATTACTAATTTATTATAAATTATAATAAAATATTTAATATTATACTTAAAATTTAAAAATATTTATTGTAATATTTAAATTATAAATTTATTAATTAAAATATTATTCACCCTTAATATTATTAACTTCAAATAATAATATTTGACGAAAAATAATAATTTAATTATTACATTAAATATTTTATTATATTTTAAATATCATTCACAAAATTATCCCCCTAAAAAAACTATGATAAGTTCTCGAATACGAGAGGCAGCCTGAGCCCACCGACCACTCTAAACACCTCTTAAGTCTTAAATTTTTTGTTGGGCCAATTAAGTCTTAATTATGCAACTACAAAAAGTTAAAAAAAAAAAATTAAAAGGGCATCTGTGTAATTTTGAAACAATCACGATAATAAGCCTCCACCTGAAAACCCTAACCCATCTCACATCTTAAAACCCTAGAATGGCTCTTCGCTTTCTTTACAATCCGAATTTCTTTTCTTTTTTTTTTTTTCCAATTAATTCTCTTCTCATCTTCTTGTTGGTTTATTATTTGCCTCTTTGAGTAGCCATGTGAATGAAATCCAAGTTTCTCATTTGGTTTAGTTAGGAGGCGGAAATCAACTCGAAAACCAGAGATATCGGTTCAGATATTTTTGGCCATTTCAACTCAGGCCTATTGAGGGGACTCTTTGCTTTTCTTTCTTCGTTAATTTTCCCCCAATCAGCCTTGGACATTTTTTTCTCCTTTTCCAATTTTTACTGTTAGTGCCATTTAATTTTCTTCTTTTTTTTTGGGGGGGGGGGTTGGATCTTTAGAACATAATAATGCCTCCTGAATAACCAGAAGGTTAGATTATGATCCGACGCCGTATGGTTCAGACAGAGGCTTAGAGCAATTCGATTCAGTTTGAGGGTAAGGAACGATTTTCCTCCGTTCCTTTCCTAGAATGTTTTCATATATTTCCTTTTTCACCCCATTTTCCATTTTTCTTTTTTTTTTCTTTTTCAATTTTGCTGTCAATTTTTTTTTCAAGAAAAGAAAAAAAAAGCAATAAAGAGTTTTTGGTTTGTGTAAATGAAACAATTACGTTCAAATTAACAATTAATAAATTCGTTTACATTTTTTTATTTTTATAAGAATTTATTTTTGGGAATTTTTTATTAATCAAACAGTACATTCATATGAAAAACGTTCAATGATAATTTTTTTTTTCAAATCAATTCAATTTGAATTAGATAAAAGAAAAAATTATTGTAATTGAAAAAATATTTAAAAAGTCCCATCGATCAAATTTATGATTCTTTTACTGATAATTTTTTTATATTTTAAAATAAAATTGCAATTTAATTTGTCCAAAGATTGATGGGATATTTGATCTATCAGTGATAAATTTAATATTATCCTAACAAAAATGATTGGAAGTTAGGTGAGTGATGATCTTGCCTTTACGATAATTTCTTGAAGAGAAATTATCTAAAACCAAATAATATAATATGTGTTGCAGGCGACAATTCTTGTCAATTTGATTGAATGATTCGAAGTTCTAACCTATTTACTTGATGACATTATATTACTACTATATTATAAAAGTGGTTCGGCCATGGCACAAAATTCTTGGCAGAAACACTTCAGTGGACAGCTTGCAAAAGCAAATAATAATAATAATCTTGGTAGATTTATTGTCATGGCGTTTTCTTTGATTCCTTTGATCATACTTCAGCAAGTGCCGAATTTGTAGACATTTCAAAATCAATTAGAGGATATAAATTTTATACGTAAAACATGAAAATTTTTATATCATAATTTATATTGATATATTAAATTTAAAATATATTTTTTTATTTAATAATACTCGCAGCATCTATTAAGTGGCTAAATATAAATATAAATATATAATATATATATATATATATATATATAGAATTTCTGGATTACAAACAGGATTCAGAATCCATATAATAAGCATCCATGTAGATATTTTAGAACTGGCATAGCAAAGCATCACAGTTCAGAACAGTTGATCAAGCCAGTGAACGGTTCTAGATTCTCTAGCAGGCAGTGGTTTAGAGACCATCATAGTAACCCCCAAATGCTATGTGAGCTCTGGTGATTGGAGCTCCTCTAACTGCAGAAATTGCTTCATTGAGTTTGGTTGTATGATGAACCATTTGCTTCATTCTCTACAATCACAATAATTTACTTAAGCTGCAAGAATCACTAAAAATGGGGTCTAAATTTTCTGTCCCCATAACCCCAACCCCTTCTAAACTTTTTGCTGTGCTGTAATTTGCAAGAAAATGTGTTGCTTTTGAATTTGAGTCTCAAATGATAAATGTGTAGATCCTTTTCAATTATGTTTGCATTGTAGCTAGGAATAGTGGAGACAATTATCTAGCTGTAATGTTCACATCAACATGTTTAATTTAAAAAATATCCTTATCAGATCAGTTAAACTGAAAATTTAACAAGATTTCCAACCCAAATTATTAAATGCTCTCTCCTTTTGCTATTAACTTGCTTGATCATGGCCCCATTTTCTGACCAACCAATGAACTTATGACCAGGATCACCAAAAAGAATCATGACAAACTAAAAATGGATAGAATTATGCATAACATAGGTAAGGAAAACAGAACATTTTCAAGAACAGTAAAAAATTTCATACCTTGTCATTAGTGTAACGCTGGAACAGCAGCTTCTGATTCTGTTGTTGCTGTCCGCGTCTTTGTTGACCTCCTAATATGATGATAAAAAAGGTAGCAGCAGCAACACCCAAAGAATAGATGGCTCCACTACCAGCTAAGCTCCATTTCCATAAATTAAGGTCACCAGAGTTCTCCTCGCAGGTAACATCTTTGTTCTCAACTTTGTTTTCCACCAAATCTTTATTTCTTGGGGAACTCTTATTCTCCAGAACCTCACTTTTGTCATCAAAATTAAATGTACTTGCTGCAACAATTTGAGGAATAACTCCCCTAGAAGTGGACTTTGGTGAGTCCATTTTGTTGGTCATGTCGACAGATTGATCATTGTAAGTTGGTTTCCTAAAGGAAATTTGCGTCTTCACTTCTTTATCACCTTTAGCTGATCCAATATCAGGTTCTTTAATCATCTCAGGGATCATGGATGGCGTAGAAGTGACACCAATAGGTACCCCTTTGGTAGTTTCCTTCCCCAGGTCATTTTCTGGAGCCTTAAAGATTCTTGGTTCCGTTGGAAATGAAACTGGAACAACTTGTTTAAATAACCTCCTTGATTTCCTGATGGCGGAGGCTGCTCCTTATCGAAGTAGTCTGTCAGAAAAACAAGTTTTGCATCAGAATTTCTTTTTCCTCCATAGACTTTTTTTTCACCATACTGACTGATTTCCAGGAATCCATTGTCAGGCAGGAAAACCCACTCATGATCAATGTCCATTTCCTGGTGAATCATTTTAGGAAATGGAATCTGATCAAACGGGGAATTGATATAGAAACTGGGTAAAGGGTAGGGGGGGGGGGTTTGAATTATTGGATCAAATAAGATGGCTTTACATGGGGTTTTCTGTGGAATTTTCACTAATGAATTGAGAGCAAGGGCCACCTCCGTGATGGTTTCCTCTTGCTCTTTGGAGTGCAAGATTGAACCTATCAGCAAGAAAAATATGACAGTTGAGTGTTTATCAGGAGAGGATGGCAAATGTAGGGGTGGTCGAAGGGACCCACCTAGAGAATGCCTTCTCTTATGGGGTTCCTGGATTTTTTTTTCAATTCTTTAATTTTTTTTTAAATAATTAAAGTTTGATTACAACACCAATACTTTGGTTAATACGAGCCAACAGCATAATTCTACCTCTTCAAAATCAACAAAGATGTTATTCTTTTGGCCTCTTTTATCAAACTTATGGATAAAAAGGAGACATGGTTTTCATTGTTTACGAGCAGAGACTCTTCAATTACTCTCACTTACATGAAGAGAGAGAGAAAAAAAGAGTGTCGGTTGCTTGGAATGATTTTCACTGGTACGTTTTTGAAGAAGAAAAAAGAAAGATGAAAGTGAAAGCCCCATACAACTGTCCGTGGGCTCGAATATTTCTGCCTGTTTTTGGCGGTCATTTTCCAGGGAAACCTAACACGTTGCAGCAAAAGGCTTCATATGTAGCACTTAAGAGGGTTTATTGTGAATTAATTAGGAGATGAAAATTGATTTGAAGCTAGATTGAACCGGGGATGGCCTGCCTAAGAAATGGGGAAGAGATCCATCTACTCCTTTTGATGTTGGAGGAATTGCCTCTATTTCTTGGGATTATTGATTGTAAAGTAAAGATGTTCCTCTAAATATGAAGTGATATACACAAAAAAGAAAGCTGTTCTCAGATTTACATGCTAGTTGGTTTCCTCACAAAAAAAAAAAAAAAAAAAGGGAAAAAAACCAACTCAAACAAGGTCAACAGCTTTAGGTATCAAGACTATCAATAGAATTTAATATGAGAGAGGGGACTAGATGTCCCAAGGCATCATAGCGCTTTGGAATAAACTATCTGATCGATAAGCTCATTTCTACGTGTTTTAGCTCAATTCTGTGAAACTCCAACCTATGATGAGAATGATGATGATCTACCAGAAGAAGATTCGCCCAAAGAGACAGAAGCCAGTGAAGAAGCCCAAACACGGGCACTCTTTGCACCTTGATGAAAATTCCTGGTCTTGCATAGCCTCAGTTTGGTCCAAGCTCTCCTCACATCAACCATGTGAAGGGCTCGTGTAAACAACTGACTTGTCTCACCAAATATTTCCAAGTTCAAGAGTGGAGCACATGAAACCCAGAAAGCCTTGAGTCGAGACAGTACTTCAGGGAACACGGACAGAAGTACTCTTAAACAGAGAAACAACACGGCAAATGCTAAGTAGGGCTCCCGTTTTACCATCTGCATTGGAGATGACTCATTCCACAACTGTATCATATATTTATTGTGGTCTCCTGATACAACAGGTTCTTTTTCAGCAATATATTGAACTGGTTCGAATCCTGAAAATGCAAACACTCATGTTAAGAAACACATAATTATATTACAGAGTTATAAAGAGTTACAACTCTGTTATGCTTGCATCTGCAAAGAAAAGAAATTTTTTATGTCAATATTTTTTGCAGCTAGCAATCTAGCTGACATTGTCAATGTCCATGGGATTATTCCCATAGAAAGTCAAAAGCAGTAGAATATACATCTTTGGCATAGGACAGCAAATACCTGTTGTTTTCCCATAAAATTGTACAATTGAGGGGAGATCTTTTGGACCATGATATCGTATCCTTGATGTCTGGTTCACAATTAAAATTGACGGCAAGCTATGAATTCCATACCCTGAAAATATACTATGATACAACAAATACCAAAGGCATTAGATATGAAATTTGTCATTGGTTTTCAGGGGGAAGCAAAAGAACATTTTATTTGATTGGTAACTCTCTATCATGTACTAATAGTCACGAAGCAATGTCACCTTAAAGGAGATTCTTCATAGAAGAACTGATTCTGGCATCACTTAAGGAATCATTAATCATTATTAAGGAGCACAAAAGACACATCACGCAGCAGAATTTTAGTTTTTTCCTCGAGTAGCAGACATGAGCATCTCATGTTACATCACAGACAGGATAAAACAACAGCAAAAATATTTTAGTGCAGACTACTTCAAAAGGCATAACTACTTTGTAAGTATTGGACGGTGGACTCGTGTTTGTTTCCACAAATTAGTCATACCAAATGTTAATAGCAGACAAATCAGTTCAATTGAATATGCATACACACACATACACAATTTTTTCTTAAGGATGCTCTCAAGTACATTTGGTCATGTTGCACCAAACCAACACCGCAAAAATTGACTTGAACATAAGGATGCAATTGTAAAAAAATAGCAATTAATTGCATGCTTAAAGTCATGACAAACAATATAAGCAACCCAATTCTAACAGTTAAAATTCTTCCTCCTTATAACATTTATCCAAGAATATGCCTTCTTTAAGGTTTGTCAGTCTCTGTAGTCAAGAACATATAAATAACAAAAGAAAAAGAAAGTCAATATTCGTGCACAAACTCTAACACTGAAAGCAGGATAAGTAGCTACACACCTTGGGAAAACTGAAGACTGTTCAACTGCCAGATGCTCTATTTGAGGAAACATGGAACTGAGAATGTCAAATTTGGTACACAAACTGCATGAAAATGGGCACCAGGAAGCATAAAAGAGTACAGAAGTGTAACCATTTCTCTGTTTGGAAGTCAATGCCCTGTCCAGGAAGTTTCCATTCACCTGCAAACAAAAATGAGAAACATATTTAAAACATTATCAGAATGTTTGTCTCTAAGAAACAACAAGTCATGCAAAATATTAATCCTTGAAACATATCTTACAAACAGATGGCACACACTGATATAAGCTAATGTACAGGAAAGATGGCAAATCTAGGAACCATAAATGCGATAATTAGAGGAGCCTCAGCCAGGAAATTTGATGAGCCCTAGTTATTCATGTCAAATTTGAAAATACAAGTTGATGGTCAAGATAATGGTATCTTTCAACAAAATTGTATAGACCTCTAATGGAAAAGAAAAAGAGAAAAAAAAAATTGCCTTTGAAGGTAGAAAGGAAAAGGGTAGGGAATGGAGAAGGAGTTGTATCCTATCCCTGGTTTGGGTTTTAATTTCTGGCCACATCAACAACTTTTAGTGTATCTTTGTCTTATAATATCAGTCTCATTAGAAAACACACAAAGTTCTTTTTTGTAAATCAACGAATTTTAGGGAGCAAATTTTGTTTTCAAATGATACTAATCTTAGTACTTATAGTTAACTAGAAAGTTTTCAATAATTCATTTGCACAGAGCATTTAGCTAACTATAGCACCATAAGCCACACGACAGTACAACCAAGCACTTTAAGCTAAAAAACATAATGCTTTAGAAGGGTCCATACATTAATCAAATGACTAAACACCAGCTGAATCACATAAGAAGGTTTAACTTAAGAAACTTGGATGGAGACATGCTTGCATGGGCACTCATTTTCATGGATATTATCATCCTTGATCAGGTGAAGGTCATCAAGTGCCTGTATGTCCTGTACACCCATTTTGGGCAATTAGGCTCACTCTTTTCTTTTTTGCATCATATATCCTAAAAAGTACTTGTGAAAGAAATGTTGTTTGCCAGCTTTCCTACTATTACATCTGAAAGAAGCAAAATGAGGATAGAAATATTATTATTTAAGCTATGGACATCAATTAACAATCTCCTAAAACCAGCATTTGGAGAACAAAGAAGCCTAACCTATGGAATCTTACGATTCTTACACTTACTTGTTTTGTAGGCCTGAACCTTAACTTAAAGTACAAAGATAACAGTTTCTGATAAAAGATTGGGACATGTATTAAGTTTCTATATTTTGGGTCATTTACGCCAAGAAGAAAGTCTGAGATCAAAACATCAAAAGATAAAATTTTATATTCCCAGTCATCAAGCAATATAGATTCTTTTCTAGCTATAATCTAATCGACATAATGCTGCTATCATAAAGCTACAAGTATGTCGCTTACACGAACACATTTAATGTTTTACATCTTCAGTTAGAGCTTTACAAAACAGATAACATATTTCACTAATCTCAACTTATATTCTAGCTGAATTGCACAAGGCTTAAATCCTCGAATATAAGACTTAAGCTGCATCTATAGTACTTTTTGCATAGCCCTAATAGCCTTAAATACAACGTGCTCATGCTTTCATATGCAAAATAGTATTTCAATTCTAAATCTTCTAGAAGAAAATAACTATATTGAAAAGCAAGACTAATATTTTTATAGAATGAATGCCTAATAATTTTGCAATTTCATTTCTATTCTCTTCTTTATTTAATTTTTTCAAATTAAATGATAACATAAGAATCCAACACCCCCAAAACATTCAAAAAGTCAATCATAAACCTTTGTTCTGGTTCTTCAAATTTTTTACAGCCATGAAAAATTCCATAATAATACTCCAATATTTCAGACTAAAAAACCCAAAATTTCCTAAAAATTTCCCTTCTTTGGACCGATTTAGGCAAATTAACAAATATCAAGAATCCAAAATCAAACAAAAAAACTAACCAAAAAAAACCATTGCAATAAAAAATTAGATCAAATCCCAAGAACCCATTTTTCCTGAACCAGTTAACAAATCCAACTAAAAATTAAACAAGAAAATCCACCAAAATTAAGCTAATAAACGTACCTTGAGAGGGGGAATTGGGGAGATCGAAGGAGAGCATTGAAAGTGAAGATTTTTAAGGAAAACTTCAGTTTCATGAGAGCACATAGAAGAACCCAAAACGCAGCGTATTAAATAGAGGGCTGTGATACAGAAGAACAGAAGACGAGAAGAAGAAGAACCCATTTTGGATTTGATTATAAAACAAAACAAAAAAAAAAAAGAAAATTCAAAACCACAAAAACAAGAAGCAGAAGAAATTGGGGAAAATTGAAACCCAGAAAAAAATAAAAATATATTAATTTTGCGAGAAAGGGAAGCGAAGGTGGTGGGTGTGGGTAATCTAACGTCTGGCTGGCTTGGTGGGCTGTTGATTTTTATTTTATTGTTTTAAAAAAGAAAAAAGGTATAAAAAATTGTGCTGCTTTTTGGAAAGTTTTTGGGGGGCTTTGGAATTTAGAATTTGATTAGTGGAATTTCAAGGTTAATTATATTAATTTGATGAAGTTGATTGACGATGGTGGTGGGTTGAGACTTGTGCCTCGTGTTGGTGTAATGAGAACTTGCTTAGGTAAACAAAAAGAAAGAAAAAAAGAGAGAGGACGCGGATGCTTTGGTTTGATTTCTTTATTTTGGGTTTCTAAGGCCTTTCATTTTGTTTTTTTTTTAATTATAAAAATACTTGCATTTTGTTGCTATATTTAAATATTTCATGCATTTATATTATATAAAATATTAATAATTTGTTTACTTATATTATATTTTATATAAATTTATGTATTATAATTTATATTAATATAAAAATATAAAATATAATTTTTATTTTTATTAAATTTATATATAATTTTTATTAAAATTTTAAATAATATTTCATTTGTATTTATTGATATCGTATCCATATTATATAATTATATCATATTTTAAATTATTTAAATTTATATTCATGCAACAATTCACTTTTTCACAAAAAAAAGTTTTTATAAAATTATTAATATATATTTTAACCGAATTTATATTTGCTGGAATTTAAATTTAAGATATAAACATTTCATAATCTCCCCCTCCGTTTCGTTATAACAAAATCTCATTGACGTAATAATCGAATTAATGTTAATTAGATTTGAGCTTTTATAAATTAAATCCAAATTATATGCAAATTTTAAATTTCCCAAATTGAGTAGCTCTCTAATAAAATAAAAAGTTTTGAGTAGTTTATACTAACGAAATAAAATATATTGCAGTATAAGATAAAAAAAATTATAAATATTGTAATTTAAATGTTGAATATATTAAATGTCATTCCTTAAAAATATTATATAAATTAATTAAATTTATTTTAATTTCCCTAATTGAAAATTTCACTTAAAAGATAAAACAACAATGTAGTAAGGTTAAATAAATTAATATTAAACACAAAACTTGAAGTCAAGCTAAAGTAAGATTAGAACAATGTCGCTATAATAAAACAAACTTCCTGTTAGGTAACAACGTTCCATTCAAACTTAATTTATTTATAATATTAAATTTTTTATTTTAATTAAATTGGAAAGCTAACTTCGCTTTCTTCTATTTTCTTTTTTTTTTCTTCTTTATTAAAAAATGCTCTTAACTTATTGAATTTAATGGCTATATACATCAAATTTGCAATTCTTAGTTTAATCATATATATTACTGTTAAATTAAACATTTTAAAACACAAAAAAATGAAATACCTGGTCTCATTTCTTGAATAAAGAATTACTATTACAATGGGTTTAATTAATGATTTTATCCTTGATAAAATTTTCCCAAATTTTGCATCCAAGAGTTTGGATAAGTGCATGTATTCTTTATTCAAAAAATTGAATTTAAATTTAAAATCTTTAAAAAAAATCTCAAATTTTTACAAATTAACACTTTTTTAAAGAAAATTTTGAGTTTTTTTTTTTTTTTAACTAATACTCGCAGAAAATGACAACATTGGCATAAATAAAGGATGAGTATCATAGTAGTACTAAAGATTTTTCAAGATGTCAAAGTTGATGTGTATTCTAGAGTATTTTGAATTTCATAGCAATTAAAATTTTATAAAGAGTAAATTTTGAACATTAAAATACCAAATTCCCTCTTTTGGTCTATCCACGTTCCAAGAAATTCATATATTTTCATGGACAGATCAAAAAGTGGAGTCTTGCTTGGGGCAAGCAGCCCTATTCCATTGGCAGACGTAATTGAGTTAGGTATGGATATTGTCATTGTTCATTCAAAACAACAAATATAATACAATATTTATTTGAACTAAAAGGAGATCATGTATCTCATTCCAATGTTCACCTTCCCATACCCAAGGCTGTGCCATTTAATTAAAGATGTTTTGTAACATACTTTGGCTTTCCCATGAATATAATTAATTTTGCATCCAAATACAGCTTTTCAAAGTTTCATTGTTGCCTTGAAATATATAACATTAATTAAAATAAAAAAATTATTTTTTTATCAACAAATCATATGACTGTTGATGTTTAACGTAAACGAATTATATATTTTCATGTGCCGGTGTGCTCTTCCTGATTGAAATCATCAGTTAGAATCTTAGCAACATCTAGTCTTAGTTGAGAGAGGAAGAAATGGGAAAAAATGATTATGTTCCACTCTTCGAAACAAGGCCGGCTAAGGGACGAATCCGTTTCAGGTGTTTTGCAGCTTCCATTTTGGTGGGCATCTGCTTCATTTGTATATTTAGAATAAGGTTTTTCCCAGTGGGAGGAAAAGTTGAGAGATGGACTTGGATTGGATTGTTTCTGTCTGAGCTGTGGTTCAGTTTTTATTGGTTTCTTACCTAGCTTGTAGATGGAACCCTGTTTACCGTTTTCCATACCAAGACAGGCTCTCTCAAAGGTTTCATCTCTTACATTATTTGATAGAGCCACCAAGCATGGTGATAAACAGTGTTATCAGTGATGGCCTATGATTATCCGCCTGAGAAGTTAAGCATCTATTTATCAGACGATGGAGGATCGGATTCAACGTTTTACGCCATGTTAGTGGCTGCAATATTCTCAAAGAAATGGCTGCCCTTTAGCAAGAAGTTCAAAGTAGAACCAAGGTCACCCGAGGCTTACTTTAGGGCAGCTTTGGAACCAGTTAACGACCCTGTTATGTCCGAAGAATGGTTTTCAGTTAAGGTAATTTAATTTGTTCATTTTCTCACATCAATCAATCGCTCATTAATGTTTACCTTTTGCCGTCTTGCGCAATTAGATTGCCTCATCCAAATTGGACTCTGATCATAAAAAAGAAAAAAAAATTTGTACTAAATTTTATAAATACTACATTATTTTTTATAATTTTATTTATTAATTAATAATTTTTAAGTTCTAATTGAGTAATTAATTAATAAATTAATTTATTCAATTCATCTTTCTACTCAAATATATTATTACTCCCCTTTATTTCTACAGTTCCAAAATATAGCTATTTTTCAATTTTTAAACACTTAATATTTTTTCTTTTTCAATATTATTATATAAATTTAGTTTTCGCTTATTCTTTTACTTTTTCACATTAAATAGTATTGAATATCATATCATATATTATAAAAAAATTTAAAATTTTAATATAAAATACACTAAAATTAAAATGTCTTATTCTCTAACGACAGTCAAAGCAAAACGAATTAACAGATGAAGTACTATTTGCAATTTATTTATTAATTAATGATCTTTAAGTTTTATTTATTTGGTTGAAAATTTGTAACGATCCTCGGATGCTATCAAATTAAGATATGTTTGAGAAAAAACAAAAGCATTACACCTTTTTCTTAGTATATTATTTTGTAGCTACCGCCGGCTGTTACAATTGCTAAGTTCCAGCATTTTGGGGTAAGAAGTGGATTTTTTTTTTTTTTCAATTATATATGCAAAAACTAAACGAGGGCATGAAGGTGAGGATTGAAACCACCACAAAGTTGAATCGAATTCCTGAAGACCTTCGCAAACAACACAAAGGTGAATGGGACTTTGTTTCAAGCAAACGTGATCATCAAACCATTCTTCAAGTAATTTTATTTGATAAAATTAAGCTTCAAAGTCTTGATTAATATACTTGAGCGTCGTTAATGGTGTTTTAATATAATTTCTGACTAAATCTTAATTGATGGGAGAGACCCCAATGCTGTGGATATTGAAGGAAAACCTCTACCAACTCTTGTGTATTTGACACGAGAGAAAAGACCCCAATATCACCACCATTTCAAAGCTGGTTCCATGAATGCTCTTGTAAGTAATATTATACCTTCTTTTTTTCATTTTATATTTTTCTTGAATGGAATTTAAATTGTATGTTATTGAATGATTTTCATGGTGAAAAATAGATCAGAGTATCGTCAAGGATAAGCAATCGTTCAATTATTCTCAATGTGGATTATTCGAACAATTCAGAATCATTAAAAAATTCTTTGTGCTTTTTCATGGATGAAGAGAAGGGAGATGAGATTGCTTATGTACAGTGTCCTCAGAATTTTGATAATCTCACCAAGAATGAAATTTATGGTACTTCATTTCGAGTATCAACAAAGGTAATCAAGCATGCTTAACAGAAAAGTTTTACTCAAATTAATACAGCCGGCGATCATTCAAAAAGATTTTGATGAGTTTTTTCTTCTTTTTTTTTCTTATGATGTTTGTGATGGGGTATCGACAATCAAGTTGGAGTTTCAAGGACTTGATGCAAATGGAGGGCCATGCTACATCGGCACAGGATGCTTTCACAGGAGAGAGGCTCTTTGCGGGAAGCAATATGACAAAGACTGCAAGGTTGATTGGAAGAGACTAAATGATAGAAAGGTTGAAGAAAGTGCAAGCATCTTGGAAGAAACATGTAGAGTTCTTGCAAGCTGTACCTTTGAACAAAATACACTATGGCGAAGAGAGGTTCGTAACGCTCTTTCTCACATGCATAAACACCGAGACACATATGCGAGCGCACACGCACACAGGCGTATATGCAGATTGGATTGAAATATGGCTGTCCTGTGGAGGATATAATTACAGGTTTGAGTATACAATGTGGAGGTTGGAAATCCATCTACTTAAATTCCAAAAGGGAAAGCTTCTTAGGCGTTGCTCCAACACCATTATTGCCGGTCCTGATACAGCAAAAGAGATGGGCGGAAGGTCACTTAAAAATTTTCCTATCAAGATACTGTCCCTTGTTGTACGGACATAAAAGGATTCCTCTAGAACTTCAACTTGCTTACTCTACTGCCAATTGTGGGCTGCAAACTGCTTGGCTACCTTGTACTATGTTGCTGTGCCATGCCTTTGCCTGCTTAGAGGCATCTCATTGTTTCCTAAGGTATGAGTAAGAGGAACCTATCTAGTTATCCTTGAATTATACTACTTTTAAGGATTTGGTACTTAATAGAAAAAAATTCAGAATTGAGTTTATGAATTTTGTTTCCATCGAGCATCTTACACCACTTACTAACACCGTTGGTTAAAATACAGAGTGACAAATACTGATCAATAAAAATGTTTTACTTATTATTATAATCTTCGTTGTTTTTTGGTCATATCAACTTATAGTTAGCCAAATTAGTGTGTGGAAAAATATCACAGATCTAAGGAAGAATCTTGAATCCTATATCGAATATAATAAGA